GGCGTGACGGTGGCGCCATGAAACAGATGATGATTCCCTTTTGGCTTGGCCTGGGTGGGACGCTTGGCTCAGGACGTCAGCCCTTCCCTTGGATCCATGTTTCAGACCTTGCTGGTATCATTGCCCATACCTTGGAGCCCCATGAAGGACCACCATCCACAGAGCCAGATGTATTTAATGGAGTTGCACCTGCATTGAATACAAATTTTGAATTCACTAAAGAGTTGGGCAGTGCTCTAAAAAGACCTACCATCTTCCCTGTGCCTGGCTTTTTCTTGGATGTCGTCCTCGGATCTGAAAGAGCTGTTATCCTCACACAAGGCCAGAAAGTAGTGCCCAAGAGAACTCTTGAATCAGGCTTTGAATTTCAATACCCAGATCTTACTTCTGCTATAAAAGAAATTGTTGGATATTAGTGATCAGTCGAAACAGAGAAGAGACATGAAGAGATTCTTTAATGCATACTAGTGCAGTTATAACATATAATTTATAATTATGCATATACAAAATAAAGCTTGCTTGTACAAAAACAACAAATACATTTAAATAATTTGATTTAATGTAGATTATCTGAGAGAAACAATGGCTTAACTTTCTTTTGATTGTCTGTCCCTCGTAAGAACAAGTTATATTTGTCTGTGTGTACAAAATGAGCACTGCATTTGTAAATAAATGTCTACATGAAATGTTTTGAGTCCAGCTGTGGTATCATTAGATGATAAAAGCAGATGTTATGTCTCATGACTTTGAGTGGCTATATTTGGCTCATCTGTCTGATTCATGAGGTCTTCCTCTAGATGGAACGTTTACATATTTTTCTTAAAAACTACCATTGGAACAAAAGCACATCAACAAAAAAATCTGTGTATGGACACAATTCACATACACCAGCTTTAATCTTAGATTCACTTAAATGTGCACAACATGCTTCTAAGGAATGTATCATTTACTGCTTCCTATAAAACTAAAAATACGGCCAATAGTAATAAAAAAACTTGTTAACCTCAAGATGAATTATGTTGAGATACAGCACAAAAGTAAAACTTTGTGGAACTGATAGTGGAAAGTTTAAGTACCTTAACAATCCAAAATTGCACATATATGAAAATACTCATTAAAGGTGCTCTAAGCGATGTCATGTGTTTTTTAGGCCAAAACATTTTTTGTCACATACAGCAAACATCTCCTCACTATCCGCTGGCTGCCTGTCCCCTGAACACACTGTAAAGAAACGCGATCTCTGTAGACAGCCCATGCTTCACAAACAGCACCAAAAACAAACTGCAGCGACCCGCTCCCCAAAACATAACAAACTGTTCCAGCCAATGACCGACAAGAAGGGTTTGGGGGTGTGGTTTGGGGGGTTAGTGTGCGGATGAGGAGGAGGGAGGGTCTAGCTAGCCTCCGTTTTGTTTGACAATAGTTCGAACGTCAACAAGAAGTGACGTCACCCAGGATCGCTTAGAGAACCTTTAAATATTTTTGAGAAGTTGACATTTCTAGTGAAGGGTTGGTCAAAATCCCTTGCCTCTTCAAATACATCTATAATCATATATCCTTTTGAATGCTTATATACTTCCTTTATAAAAATCAATAATCAAATATATTCATTATCACATAATAATTTTTATATTCTTTGTGCTTGTGAAATTATATTTTCTTAAATGCATGTGATGTAAGTAACCAGTTTCTTTTAGGTGCATTCCAATCTTACTTTGAGATTTCACGTAGTACACGCAGGACACGAAACCCACAAGGCCGTTTGTCTCTTTCTCTGGTTTATGGATCCTTAAGGCGTCGTGAACACATATGTCCAACACATATGATCCTTCGTTGGACATATGGTCAAGCTATATTGGACGCTCATTGAGCGTTACTATCGAACTTTAATTGTTGTATTAAAATGTATTCTTTCCAGTATATTTCCTTCCTTGGGAGTAAATGCCAGTTATCTGTTTTTCTCCCAAACGAGTGAATGTTTTGGTATACTTAACTGATAATAAGGAGCTCAGACTCTCTTTAGCCTTGATGGGAGCTGTTATTTGCTAGTGTCTGTTATTTGTGTGTGTGTGCGTATGACATGCTATGTAGGTTCTGGACGTTCGGACCAGACAACCCGGCGCCCTTCTCTAACCTGCGAGGCCACCACAGACCTAAATCTAATGAGTGGACGACAACTATCCTGACTAAAGGCGATAGGCACCCCTATCTCCCATAGACAGTAAAAGAAATGGACAGAGCGATCTCATTGGAACTCAGTTGAGACAGTTGAAGCCCACTTTTAGCGATTTTTGAGAACTTCCGTTCCTGACGCGCAGACTCAGACCGACTCAAACTAAGCTTGATGACGTGAGCAACCTGTCTGACAGACGTGAATCTTCTAGTAGCTGTGCGTGAAAATTGCCAACGTTAATCTTGCAGAGACGGGGAACTTGAGCAAAGAGTCCTTTATCGTGAGTGAGCAGGAGTAAGTATTCCGTTGCTTTTATGGACTCATTATCTATGGGCTTCTCTCTTGACGGGACGTCCCCCCGATTGCCTGCGAGCTTCTCCTCCTGTCTGTACGGTAATTTCTGTACAGCGCGACAGAGAGTCGAGTGGTTATGACGCAATCGTTAGCCTATTTTTACTAAAACTGTTTCTACGGGGCCATAATGTAACATAGAAGGTAATGGAGCCATTTATACATTGTCGTGTTTCTTTAGAAATAAATAATGGACAAATGGAGTCTTTAAACGCCTCAGATGTAAAGTTATTCGCTGTCAAAGTGACGCCAAAATGAATGGTAGTCAATGGAAATGCTAACGCAAGTGAAGTTCTGCTACAAGATGGCGGCACCCGGCCGGCTTCAACTTCCGGTCGATGGATTACCCCCTTGCTATCTCCTCACATGTGTTAAATTGTTTAGGCTCTCATGTTTCTTAGCCAATGAGAATCATTCAACCTGTAAGCAATGACGTAGCTTAGACCTTGGAAATGGTATAACTGCTGTGATCTTTGTAACTGTAAGTGAGGCGGCCTACGAACTCCTGTGTGAGTCTTGAAGCTGACTTATGCTGATGAAAATGCAAACTATCTTCAGTAAAACTTTTCTTTAATTTTTTATAATTCTGACTCCGAGTCTTTGACTGTAGACCCCTTACACTAGTGTTGTATCTTGGTAACTTTTTCATGCAGCTATTTAAAATAAAGACTAGCAAAGGCAAAAGGTGTTTAAAATTGTGAAATTTTATACAACTTCCCTTATCCAATGTTTGTATTCAGTGCCACGAGAACAAGAGGTATTACATCAGTCAAACTATTTACAATTGCTGCCTGAAAAAAAATCATTTATGTATATTTTAATGCTTTTAAAACATTACATGACTTACATAACATATTTTAATGTATTGGTTCCAAAAGGTTTATGTATCATTTTAAATATGTAAAATGTAAGAAATTGGTTTGTGTAAATGGTATTTTCTTAATAAAATACACAATTACATTATGTATTACTTTTTATATTCCAAAAATATATTTAAAAAAAGTCTAAGGACACGTCATGCCTCAACTACCCAATCACTGCCAAATCATTTACATAAACACCACCTTGAATGTTCTACCGAGTTTCGTGTACTATATTATAACAAACGAAAAAACAATTATCTGGGAAATTAGTACCTGAAATGTTTTATAACTTTACGTTTTATAAATGTTTTACTTCGCATTACCTAAATGACTTACCATCTATGTAAAGTATTGTTCAGTAGCAAGCATATAAAAACACTCGTATTCTACGTCATGAATCAGAGCGGCAGGAAGCTCACTGTAGAGGTCACATACTGAGTGCTCGTCACTCGCCCAATCACCTCGGGGAAGGTCTGAGACAAGAGCCAATCGCTGTCCTAGCAGGACATCATCTGAATGGATGAGCGAGCGCACAGAAAACTCGGGTCACAGCGCGGTGTTCTCGCATGAGACGTTGATATATGCGCAGATTACAGCAAATCAACTGATGCGATCCCCGCTGACTTGGAAACACTCGCGGCTGGCAAATGAGTTCAATGTGTGAGCTAGCACAAGCTGCTAGAACCCAATTCAGACTACTCTCCCTCCGCTCTTTTGCTGATTAATATCCATTATTATTTCCCGGTTTTATAGACAAGCCTTAAAGGGATACTCCACCCAAAAATCTAAATTCTGTCATCATTTACTCACCCTCAAGTTGTAGCAAACCTGTATGAGTTTCTTTCTTCTGCTGAACACAAAGGAAGATATTTTGAAGAACGATTGGAACCAAACGGTGGTTTGGAGTAAATGATGACAGAATTTTGATTTTTGAATTTTGGGTGGAGTATCCCTTTAAGGCTAGTCCCGAAAGAAAAAGCACGTTTAAACTGTTTTAAATGACAGAAACTTGCACTGACAAGTCTGACATATCTTAAAATATGTCCCAAAAAAAATGCATGTTAAATATGTCAGTGAGTGACATTATTTTGTCTCAAGATGCACACTACACTAGTAATGTTATTTTTTTCTAAGGCATGTTTATAAAAGCTACATACATGTCCTAATTCAACTAAGGCCTATTGACCATGAAATCAAAATGGAAATGTTCTTATTTTTATGGAATATTGCAGTATTTGTTATTACTGATTTATCCGAGCACAATATGCACATGCATTTTTTATTTTATTTATCATAATTTAGAATCAAAATGACTTTCCTTCCCTATTGCAACAATGTCTCTTCTTTTCTCTGATGACGTGTTTACTGGTGCAAGGGCGGGACAACCTGTCATGAGATCACCGCATTAGCAAACACAACCATCCAATCAATTCCAATCAATGGACAAAACCAAGTCCCGCCCTTCTTGTTCAGAAGCTGTTTCACTCCAATATATGTCACAGTAGGGAAGAACTATCGCAGCTTCAATTATGCTGACTTTAATTTGGATTTTGTGCTTTGATACTGGTGAATAGTGAGCATTGGGTTCAGTGCATTAGCAAATCACAATCAGGTTGCATTGGTCAACTAGTGTATTTGGAAAGAAACATTACAAAAATCCAACTGTAATCCACAAACACTGCATTAACAGATTATCGTAGTAGCCTCATTGAGTCTCGTCATTTTCAGTGGAATCTTCTGCATGAAATATTGGCAGCAGATCTCCCCAGTCACTGCTACGAGCACATCTGTACATGTCCCTGTTAAAATGGACAACAAAAATCATTGTTAAAACAACCTGTATGATCTCCACCTGCATAACATAATAGAGGTAGTAGTTTAGGAGGAGGTCATTCACTGAAAATGCAAGAAGAGATCCATTAATGAAAGCACAACATACTTCCCATGATGACGGGCTGTAACAGCGAGTTGTTTAAGTTCTCCATTGGCGCAGCACAGCTGACACTGAACATGTCTGGGTCGGCGACGGACTTGTGCGATCAGTCTGGCCATGCCCCAGTGCTCAGTCTCCTGAGCCTTCTCTCCATCGGACCTGGATATAATCAGGAAACTGAACTTCTCCTGCTGCCTCTCTTGGCTCTGTAATGATTGATTCATATAGAGAGATGGGGGAGAGAAATATATATTGGATTATACAACCATCCATAACTACTTTATAAATAGCCAAAATGTTGACATCTTATGAAAACTACAGAACAAAAATTCAGTTATTCAAGACGAATGTCACAATTCGAAAGCCGACTGCTTGAACTTACCCGAGATAAGGGCAGAGAATAGTAGAACTGAGTGAAGTTACAAGGTACTACAGGTCGCTTGATCATCTTGGGACAAGGCAGCTCATGAGTGCACTGTTCAAAATGAAACCCAGCAGTAGATATTGTCAGCCACATATCAGTATATCATATTAATGGTACAATTAAGGATGGTTTCAATGATATTTCAACCTACAGGAGCAAATATAGATGGTCTCCTCAAGTCATGCTGTACCTCCTCTTCTCTCTATAGTTATACAGTAAAGGTTTGAGAGAAATTACATCAGAAACTTTCTGGTATTTCTGAAGATTTCTGAAAGATGCAGTTCTATCACTACCACTTCAAACAGAAAGACATATTTTAGCAATTTGACATACAGCAAAAAACTTAGATCATACGTTAAGTATAGCGTCTCTGGCCTCCATTAAGATTTGATGGCCATCCTTGGTTCCATTCTCCACCAATACCTGTACAAATTATCAAGAACTGCATTAGGAAAACTTAATTCTGTTTAGATAGCAGTGTTATTGTAGCAATATTTATTTAAAGTATTTATTAATATTTTGAATTAGCTATAACGTTAAAAAAATAACGTTTTTATTTTAATTCTAGTAATTTTGTTAATAGGTTTTGTCATTTTTTTTATTTAGCTTTGATTTATTTTTATTTCAGTTTTAGTTTCAGTAATTGTAGTACTTCAACTTAAACTACACTTCCAGATTTTATTATTTGATTTGATTTCAACTTTGTTTCGATTAATACAAATATTTTTAATAGTTTTAGTTAACAACACTGCAAGACAGTAAAAAAAAACCTATATTCAATGTCACAGTTCCATAATTTATTAAATTAGTTTAATCAATAAGAATAACTCGAGCATCATCACTCACAAGGTAGGAGTTGGTTTTTCTCCAAAGTGTGAAAATAACATTCAGTCGCTCGTTCAGATTGGCCAGTTCTGACAAAGAGAAAGCGGCTACCACAAGATCAAACTGCACCTGTGGAAAGGAAATACAGTTGTTTTATTCACTTGTGTAAAAGCAATGTATCATTTGGGCAAATAAATTCAATTAAGGATGTCAGCTGAAGATACCTTAGGAGAAACAGGGAGGAACTGGCGGAAATATACTTGCTGGATTACTGGGTTATCCATCTCACTGCCCCCTGTTTGGTACAAACGAACACTTTTTTCCTGTAAATTTGTTTATATAACACTGTGCTTAAAAGTTCGACTGAATGACCTTACCTTTAAGAAGTTGTTCTGCCAAGGTGTTCATGTCTCCAGAGCTGTCTACACAAACATACTCCTTCAGTGAGTCTCCCCAGAGTGAGTGTGATGCCCTGAGTGAAAGAATAAAAGGTTACACTTTATTTTACAGTATGTGTACTTACTGGTAACATAATGTAACTACATGGGTTAAGGTTAGGTTTAGGGGTAGGGTTAGAACCTTGTTATAAACCAATTATTGTAATTGCTATAATAAGTACATGCACATGCACATAGTATCTACCGAATAAAATATAATATCAATTCACTAATTGATATACAATTAAAACATGCATCTTTCAAAGCAAGTTAATAAATACCACAATAAATCAATCCTATTTATAAGCCCCCAATGTTCTTTTCACTTTAGAATATTAAAATATGAATATCTAAATCATACTCACCATGTACCTGTTCCGAGTCCTGATCCAAAGTCCATTAGAGAATGTGGCACAAATAAAGGCTCTCTCTTCTTAATCTGAGATGTATATCAAAAAGACTGTTTACGACAGAAAAAAATGCAATGAAAATACTGTTAAAATGTGCATTAAATACCTCATTTAATGCTCTGAGGACAGCAGCATAACCACCTGCTAGTCTAGCAGCCATATACACCAACCCAAGATCTTCATTGTACCTTAAAATAAATCCAGAGTTATCCAATAAAACATACAAAACCTCACAGTCCCATTCTATGACAAATCTTTCATACAGATTATGTATTTGTACCTTAGGGAAGTCCTGTGGTATGTTGTTCTTCTCAGTTCAGATAATACTCTGTTTTTTATTCGAGCCTCTAGTTTGTGGTCATTGCCATCTGAAGGAAATATTTAATAATAACTGTTTTATATACAGTCTTCAGTGTACAGTCTATCACATCTGTAACTCACCTTTATGGATATCCCCCTCTTGCTCCAAAAATGTCCTCTCAAGAAGGGTGGCTTTCTCCCTGAGTTGTGAAGTTTCTATCGCTCGCTTCCTGCTCCAAAGGAAGTTGGACAGCTTATGTGCCCTTTCAGTCAGACTTTTTACATCAGCACCTAAATATCAAATAAAGGCATATAAGAGCAATTACACACACAACTATAGCGACATGTGATTGATATGTGCATTTCAGAACACAGACTGATTTGAATGCTCAAGACGCAAAAAAATATAGACTGGTAGATCAATGTTTACTTACTTTGTAAGACGGATTGTGCTGCTACCTGCAGTTGCTCCGGTAGGCGCACTGTTTTGAGGTTTGTCACACCGGGGTGCTTTCGATGAGGAGCACCTTTCAAGAAGTCGGCCTGTTCCAGAGGTGCTGCAGAACTCTGACACTTAAAAAAAAAGGAAGAAAGAATGTAAATGCTATGTATTGTACATACAAGTACATAGCAGCTGGTTGGAGGGGAAGGTGGTATTTTGGTATCATTGAGATACTATTAGTTTTTTTTTTTTTTTTAAAGAATGCCTAAAAGTCCCTATCGTTTCAGTTTTAGTAATTTTTAATACATAGCCACTGGTGCTCACTTGATAAACTGGAGGTAAACATCAAATTATAAAGATGAAATACTCCAAGGCACTCACGTGGTGAAAGTAAAAAGCTTTTGATTAACTAAATCAGTCGGCTACACAGCCTTCTGCAGGATATATATCCTTTATACTTTTTGTATTTTTTTAGTGTGTGTATACCTCACACACATACCTCAAAGGCCACATTCAGGACCAATCACGAGTTTAACCAATCACTGCGCAACAATTAACATATTCTCAATCTTTTATTCTTTTTTCTATTTACTCGTTCAAACAAAACGTTTCGTCAACAAAAAAAATACTTTTCTCAAGAAACTATTTTAGTCGGACAAGAAAAAAATCATTTAAAAATTATTACACCCCTTACCATTATTTAAACGAATAGCTATAATTGGATATTATATAATGGAAGCAACATAGACAATAAAATCGCAGCGGCAGGAAGCTCACTGTAGAGGTCACATACTGAGTGCTCGTCACTCGCCCAATCACCTCGGGGAAGGTCTGAGACAAGAGCCAAACGCTGTCCTAGCAGGACATCATCTGAATAGATGAGCGAGCGCACAGAAAACTCGGGTCACAGCGCGGTGTTCTCGCATGTGACGTTGATATATGCGCAAATTACAGCAAATCAACTGATGCGATCCCCGCTGACTTGGAAACATTCGCGGCTGGCAAATGAGTTCAATGTGTGAGCTAGCACAAGCTGCTAGAACCCAATTCAGACTACTCTCCCTCCGCTCTTTTGCTGATTAATATCCATTATTATTAAGAATTCTGTAACTTAAGGATTCATCATTAAGATATATGACGGATTAACTCACCCGTTGCGCTTCTCTCAAACATAAAGCAAAATGGCATCTTGAACATTTAACATACATCCGGCTGCCCAGTAAAAACATGTTTTATTCACAATTACTACACATAACAACAAATTAGATACTGCATTAATTTAACGCCGTTTACAGTAACTGTATGTTAACATCGGTCAGTATGTAGCGTTACGGTCGCGAGCTCATGTGGTCGTCGGCAACACGACTTCAAAATAAATCCGTGTAGAAAGAAACTGAACAATTCGTTCCTAGATAACACAGGTCCGCCGTCCGACTCAGTCCGAGGTATTATACTTTTGGCGCCAATCAAAATCTCTCAGGTTGGTGTTGAAAACCATTTCAATCTTGTGATTATTTAAATTTTAGCAAGAGAAAATTGTGACTTTAAAGTATGTTTTGTTCAAACGTTTGTCTTAAATTATTTTGGCGCCATATCCATGGCTGTCGTGTCTCGTGTCCCATGTAACGTTAACGTAGATGACGAGGAAGTGAATACAGACTCATATATTACACCACCTCCTATCTGAATACTTGAGTTTACCTCATACTGATACGTGAACCATTGCTGACAACGTTTCCTCTCATTTTAGCAGTTTTATTGATAGCATGCGACGAACAAGGAGTTGCCGGGGCAAGTCTGTGCCCGATTCAGGCAGTGAATCGTCAGAGACGAAAACAGGTATGAATTCACTTTCAGTGAACATGCCAAAACAGCTTAAAGTTTCACAATCAGCAATTAAAGTCTGTGAGTCACGCACTGAATTAACAAACATTGCCCTTCCATCAATGCTTTTCTAAATAAATGTATTTAAGTGCGTTAGCATAGCCACACCAATTTGATTGAATTTAATCTCTAAATTACTTTATCTGTATAGGTTTGAAACTGGTTTAGGTTTTCATATTTCACATAAGAGTGATTATCTGAATACAAGTTTTTATTCTTTCCAGTTTGGCAGTGGAAGGGGGACGATGAGTGGGAACCGTATCCTCCAGCTGTCTGTGTCCAGCTGGATACAGCAAAACAGGCTGGAGAAAAGTCGGTGTCACTGGCACTTGGACCTGGTTATGAAGTGGATCTTGTGAAAATGACTCAAACTAACAATGTCACTAAGTACAAACGAAAAATACGCCTTCAGAAAGTGAAGTCAGGTACGCCTGTGTGTATTAGCATCTGATTATGCATCAGTATCTGAGACAGAAAACTAATAGCAGTATTTGCTGTATTGCAGAAGATCTGAATGAAAGGGATGCTTTGAATGGTAATAATGGAGCTGCAGCTGTTCTTCCGATTAAAGAAGAGAAAGAGGAGGAAGAGGAGCAACCCGTTTCCAAGAGACGCAAAGAAGGGAGGAGTCAAAGGGTGAACAAAACAAAGCCCGTTGTAAAAGAGGAATGTGAAGGTGATGCTTCCCTAATAAATTAACTTCCCTCAACTTTCATTTCTGATGTCTGATGTTACCAGTTTATTTTCAACCCCTATCCTTCAATCTCCTTTCAAATGAAGACACCTTCCACAACTCTTTCAATTAAAATAAAATATGTCCTGTCCTAAAAAAAAATTCCACACAAATGCATCACATTATGTTACATAATTGACTTTTCAGATTGATTTTACCTGTTGTTTTTTCCCTCCTGTTTTTAAGAAGAGGTTGTAAAGACGGTGGTTATGAAGGGAAAAGCCCCGGTTGATCCGGAATGCAAGGCTAAAATTGGAACGGTAATTTCCTTATATGTAAATCCACTTCACCAGCTAATTACTCTTTGACAGCGATGCCAAAGAAATATACAGAGCTACCGCAAAGACGGAAGTTCAATCAAAAAATTCTAAATATGGCTGCACGCTTGTTTCTCTTGTGCATAAGATCTATAGGGTCTATAGATCAAAATTAAATTGCTGTATAGTATTTGACTAACTGTTGCGTAATCGCCTTTAAAATCTTCCCTTTTCCTCAGGACAGACTTTGTTTGTTTTAATGCATTCTTTTGATTAGATTTCTTTTCTTTGGTTATTCACAGGCCCACGTCTACAACGAGGGCGCCGATGTATATGACGTTATGCTGAATCAGGTGAATATTGAAGATGTTACATTACTGTTCAAAAGTTTGGATTTTTTTGTGTTTTTGAAAGAAAGTCTTTTATACTAACCAAGGCTAAATTTATTTGATCAAAAATACAGCAAAAACTAATATTATGAAATCTTATTACAATTTAAAATAACTGCTTTCTATTTAGATTTTTAGATTTATTACTGTGATGCAAAGCTGAATTTTCAGCATCATGACTTCAGTCTTTAGTGTCACATGTCATTCTAATTATGCTGATTTGGAAAAAAATTGTTCTGCCTAATCTTTTTGTGGGAACCATGATAGTTTTTTTTTTTTTTTTTACATTGTATGACATATTTTAATTTTACCCTTGCGTTACAGACTAATCTTCAGTTCAACAATAACAAATATTACCTGATTCAGCTTCTTCAAGATGACAGTGCAAAAGCCTACAGTGTTTGGATGCGGTGGGGACGAGGTATGTGCAGAAACACCTCAGATGGTCTTTACCAGGCTGACCTATGTTATCATGTTTTATTATTATTAACCCATGTTCTTGTTGTTTTTCTCTTCAGTTGGTAAAGTAGGACAGAACAGCTTAGTTAACTGTGGGGGGCATCTAGCTCAGGCCAAAGACACCTTCAAAAAGAAGTAAGTTTATCTTTTACTTTAAATCATGAGTGAGTGTTATTTCCTCATATACCATATGAGTGGATGAATTAGCATATAATCTGCAGATTCTTTGACAAGACAAAAAATGAGTGGGAGCATCGAGCACATTTTGAGAAAGTTGCAGGGAAATATGACATGCTGTTTGTAGACTACAGCACTGAAGACAAGGTAAAAGACACTTTTGTGCCCAATCCATTGTTCTACATTGCATTTATGTTTCAATCTTTTTTATAGTCTTATTAAGACCTATTTTTTCCTTCCACCAGGAGAAGGACAAGGCTGTGGTATCCTCCCCACTTCAAAAGCCCTGCCAACTGAACAGCAAGGTCCAGTCTCTACTAGAGCTTATATGTGACCTCAAAGCCATGGAGGAGTATGTGCTTGAGATGAAGTTTGATACCAAAAAAGCCCCGCTTGGTGTGTGTGTGTGCAGTTGTGTACCAAACTGATGAAAATATGCTTGAAGATTGCAAATGAAACAAATTGAATTAATTGATTTTAATTTTCCCTAAAGGAAAACTAACAACAGAGCAAATAAGAGCTGGCTACGCCTCCTTGAAGATAATTGAAGAATGTTTAAAGAGGAAGAAGAGTAATAAAGAACTCTTGGATGCATGCAACCAGTTTTACACTCGTATCCCCCATGACTTTGGGTAAGTTGCACTACGTTCAAAATTTTGGGGTCAGTACGATTAAAAATTTTGTTAATACTTTTATTCAGCAAGTATGCATTAATTTGATCAAAAGTGACAGCAAATACTTTATAATGTTACAAATGTTTTCTATTTCAAATACAAAAAAATGCTGTTCTTTTGAACATTCTATTCTGAGAATCCTGAAAAAAACACAAATATTAAGCAGAACAACTGTTTTCAGCATTGATATTGATAATAATAAGAAACGTTTCTTGAGCAGCAAATCTGAAGGATCGTGTGACACTGAAGACTGGAGTAAAGGCCCCGATATACTCACAGCGAAATTCTTTTTCATTCCTTGGTTAGGGTTAAAACGAAGTTCGGAATACGGCAGCAGCAATATAGCAGTGTCAGTGTGACAGTGTCTCATTTCATCAGAAGTACAACTTTATTTTCTACTATAAAGCTGCTCTCCTGTGTGTTCATGTTTTTACTGGTGGACGTCTGACCTCCACAGACTGAACAGGAGAAATGAACTGAAAGAGATTTCCACGTGAAAGAAGGTGGAGCCTCAGCGCACACCTACCTATTACGTAATCGCCATGGACCAATGGTAGTACGAAGGTGTTTACCTGCTGTAGCAAACTTTTCCGGAAAGTTCGTTTTGGCAAGCTGTTTCGAACTCCCGAAGCGAACTTTGTTTCGGCCTGATTTTGCTCGAAATGATGTCACAGCAGTTCGTTCTTTGATTTCGCTTGAAGTATATCAGGGACTTAATTGCTGCTTTGCCATCAGAGGATTACATTTAAAATATAGAAAACAGTTATTTTAAATGTAATAATATTCCAGAGTTTTACTGTTTGCTGTATTTTTAATCAAATCAATGTAGCCTTGGTGAGCATACGAGACTTATTTAAAAAGAAAAACATTTGACCTAAACATTTGAACAGTAGTATACATTGCTTAATGACTCAGATTTTACATTTACCTGTGTGTGTGTGTTTTTGTGGTTCCTGACTACTCGATCCTCATTTAGGTTGAAGACACCACCCATAATACGCACAGAGGATGAGTTAAAGGAGAAAATCGCTTTGCTTGAGGTGTGACATTGTAATAGCTGCTCGCCTTATAGGGAAAGCATTGTTGATGCTGAATGGGTCGAAGTGATTTGACCATTTATATATCACGGCATTCTTATAGAATTCTATGTTTATAGTCAAATTTTACAGACAATAAGGAATAATTCACACACAAAAAAGAAAATTCTGTCATTGTTTTCTGTCTTTTTAGGCTCTAAGTGACATTCAGATAGCAGTGAAAATGGTTCAGTCTAGTGTTCAGACTGATGAGCATCCTTTGGACAGACATTATCGCTCTCTACAGTGTCGTCTGGAGCCACTGGATTCTCACTGCAATGAATACAAGGTACAGTACATGGGACTTACCTCTTTTATGGTTAAAATAGAATCTTAATAGTAATAGCTTGCATGGTGGATGTTAAAAACTTGACTAGTCGATTTTAAAAAATGTAATTTTGCACATCCCAAAACACTTTGTGTAGGTTATAGAGAAGTATCTTCAGTCCACTCATGCACCCACCCATACTGACTACACAATGACTATTCTGGACGTCTTTGCTGTGGAGAGAGAGGGCGAGAAGGACAACTTCAACACTGAGCTGGAAAACAAGTACCAAACCACCTTCCTCAATTACACTTTATCACTTATCTAATGCTCTATGTAAACTGGCGGTCCCTTAGATTCTGGTCTAGTGTGCCTCATCCCATTTTAATAGATTAAGACAATTTTACCATGTGTTTCAGATAGTAGAAGTTGTTTTTGTGTGTGGATACAGGATGCTCCTGTGGCATGGCTCTCGTCTGACGAACTGGGTGGGGATCCTGAGTCAGGGGCTGCGAGTGGCCCCTACAGAGGCTCCCGTGACCGGATACATGGTGAGACGAACAGATACTGAATCACACAAATATTATCAATAGAAGAATTCTAAATCAGTCTTTGTCTACAAGACATCTGTAACCAATCTATTTTTCTTTTCTCTTCTAGTTTGGTAAGGGGATCTATTTTGCTGACATGTCATCTAAAAGTGCCAATTACTGCTTTGCCAATCAGAAGAACAACCAGGGACTCTTGTTGCTGAGCGAGGTTGGTTTTTTTGTATCTACATTAAAAAAATCTGCTCCCATTTGCTTAAAGGTGAAGTAAGTGATTTCTAAGAAACACTGTTGATATTTGAAATCAACCCAAACAAACACACCCCTCCCTTCCCTGACTTTGACATTATTTCATTAGAGTTAAAAGGAATATTCAAACATTCACTTATATTTAATGATGCACAGATATCATTAAAAACCTCTTAATTTATGGAGTCAGATGAAATAATGAGAGAATACCTATAAGAAAATATATTGCATTTAATCAAAAATACTTTGTCACGAGAAAAGGCAGTAACACGCAGAGACCTTCACCCGCTGATCGGATGCCTCCATTGGGGCGATCGAGCCGGGCTTTACAAGTCGCCAGCAGCACACCAGCTCCAGACTAGGGCTTGGCTTTTTTGGCTCTTAAAAAAGCCAAGCCCCTCCTACTTGGACTAAACCATTTAGTAATTAAAGGTAATAAAGAAATTGAATAAAGACAAAATTTTTTTTAGATTTAACAGTAACAAAGAGATAAACTGTTATAATGATACAAAATTATATGGGAACTAAACAAATTAAATAAATTATTAATGTTTAACTAATAATCAAACAGAATACCAATCTCCCCCTCACACACGAGAACAATTAACTATGCCTTCTATTGGCGGGAAAGAGATATTCAAAAATGGTGGCAGTTACTGTGACTGGGTTTTTGTCTGTTTGGTATGGGAAAAAGTTCCAGTACTTAAGTATGACTATTTATATTATGTAAGTGGTTAATTAAGAAATAATTGACGACATGCCGTTTTTAAATAATTTTTCTAATAATTCATTCAACGGCCCGGAGTCAATTATTCCGCTTATACTACAGTTACCACACCTCAAAACATTGTTTAGATGATGTATTTCAAAACGTTTGTCAAGTTTTTGGCATTAAAACGCTCTTGTATGTAGGACGAATTTCTTACTCATCTAATCCCATGCCTCCGTTGCTAATTCCAAAACGGTATTTCAAGACGTTTGTCAAGTTTTTGTCATTAAAACGCTCTTGTATGTAGGACTAATTTCTTACTCATCTAATCCCATGCCTCCGTTGCTAATTCCAAAACGTCATTTTAGAGTTGGTAACGGAGGTTTGAGCCACTGATAGCAGACTAATGCTGGGGACACACAACTACTAGCTGAAACATTCTAAGACTGACTGTTTTGAACACAGACACCGACGCTGAACATGCCTTTGGGCATGATCAGTCATAAGTATCAAATTACATTCATAACCGGCCTTACAGGAAGTGTTTCCCCGGCTTTATGCAGTTATTAATGCAGTTATTAGAGAGAGAGAAATGTTGCAATAATGAGCCAAAAAAGCATGTGTGTCAATATTATTATTTATTTATTCATTCAATTCGTTTTTATTAATTCGTTCATTCTTTTTTTTTCTATTATTGACAGTAGACTAGCCTAATAAATGAAACACAAAGCCCTTTTAACAAGTAACTATCAATAATTATTTATTTGTTATATTATCTGCAATAATTACGAAAACCCATGCAGCAGGACTATCAATTTATTTACAGGTCCTTCTCAAAAAATTAGCATATTGTGATAAAGTTCATTATTTTACATAATGTAATGATAAAAATTAAACTTTCATATATTTTAGATTCATTGCACACCAACTGAAATATTTCAGGTCTTTTATTGTTTTAATACTGATGATTTTGGCATACAGCTCATGAAAACCCAAAATTCCTGTTTCAAAAAATTAGCATATTTCATCCGACTAATAAAAGTGTTTTTAATACAAAAAAAAAAGTCAACCTTTAAATAATTATGTTCAGTTATGCACTCAATAGTCAATACTTGGTCGGGAATCCTTTTGCAGAAATGACTGCTTCAATGCGGCGTGGCATGGAGGCAATTAGCCTGTGGCACTGCTGAGGTGTTATGGAGGCCCAGGATGCTTCGATAGCGGCCTTAAGCTCATCCAGAGTGTTGGGTCTTGCGTCTCTCAACTCTCTCTTCACAATATCCCACAGATTCTCTATGGGGTTCAGGTCAGGAGAGTTGGCAGGCCAATTGAGCACAGTAATACCATGGTCAGTAAACCATTTACCAGTGGTTTTGGCACTGTGAGCAGGTGCCAGGTCGTGCTGAAAAATGAAATCTTCATCTCCATAAAGCTTTTCAGCAGATGGAAGCATGAAGTGCTCCAAAATCTCCTGATAGCTAGCTACATTGACCCTGCCCTTGATAAAACACAGTGCACCAACACCAGCAGCTGACATGGCACCCCAGACCATCACTGACTGTGGGTACTTGACACTGGACTTCAGGCATTTTGGCCTTTCCTTCTCCCCAGTCTTCCTCCAGATTCTGGCACCTTGATTTCCGAATGACATGCAAAACTGAGCAACAGTCCAGTGCTGCTTCTCTGTAGCCCAGGTCAGGCGCTTCTGCCGCTGTTTCTGGTTCAAAAGTGGCTTGACTTGGGGAATGCGGCACCTGTAGCCCATTTCCTGCACACGCCTGTGCACGGTGGCTCTGGATGTTTCTACTCCAGACTCAGTCCACTGCTTCCGCAGGTCCCCCAAGGTCTGGAATCGGTCCTTCTCCACAATCTTCCTCAGGGTCCGGTCACCTCTTCTCGTTGTGCAGCGTTTTTTGCCACACTTTTTCCTTCCCACAGACTTCCCACTGAGGTGCCTTGATACAGCACTCTGGGAACAGCCTATTTGTTCAGAAATTTCTTTCTGTGTCTTACCCTCTTGCTTGAGGGTGTCAATGATGGCCTTCTGGACAGCAGTCAGGTCGGCAGTCTTACCCATGATTGCGGTTTTGAGTAATGAAACAGGCTGGGAGTTTTTAAAAGCCTCAGGAATCTTTTGCAGGTGTTTAAAGTTAATTAGTTGATTCAGATGATTAGGTTAATAGCTCGTTTAGAGACCCTTTTCATGATATGCTAATTTTTTTAGACAGGAATTTGGAGTTTTCATGAGCTGTATGCCAAAATCATCAGTATTAAAACAATAAAAGGCCTGAAATATTTCAGTTGGTGTGCAATGAATCTAAAATATATGAAAGTTTAGTTTTTATCATTACATTATGAAAAAAATAATGAACTTTATCACAATATGCAATTTTTTTGAGAAGGACCTGTATATATTCAGTTTAATTTTCTATTGATTATAGATAGGATACTATATATTTTATTTATTAAAATTAAACTGCATGTTTCCATTAATTGTGAAGTTAGACATCAAAAGATGCAGATCAAGCGCATGGGGGTGCATGTTTTTTCTTGTTATGAATTGTATCCTATTTTCCGTTATTACAGTCAACTACGCGAAGTGATATGGAACTGTAATGCGGTCAAGACCTGCCTGGAACTTCTTTAGACGTGCGTTTCCCTGAAAATAATTGCACACCTTAAGGCCTGTTCACACCGGGACGAATTTCGCGCGCGATATTCGCCGACGTTTAACGCCTCGTGACTAAACAAAGGGCGCCTATGTGAGTGTGCACACCGACGCGAAAAACGCCACGCGTAAAAGCGTAATTTTTTTAAAAATGCCTCGAGTTCGTTTTTTGGTTTGACGCACCGCGTCAAAAACTATCCGACCAATGAGATTGGTGCTTTTGCTCACGTGTCTGGAGCTTCTGAAGTTACAGTAAAACACAACTTGGGGGCGCTCAAACACAAAACTGTCTTGCCGAGCACACATACGTAACGGCGAAGAAGATATACGCCAAGTAGCGTCTACACCATAGATATCCATAATAAAGGCTAGATGTCTCGTCCGCGCTGCTGGCCAATGTCCTTTATTCTCCTCTCCTCCTGTTTCGCGTGCAGGAGACAGACATAATAATGCCGCGAATGTGACGCTTATGGTCTACACTGCCGGGAAGAAATAAGACGAGGAAGATGCAGGGCAAGATGAATGTAGAGCTGCTGGTCTCGTTAGTGTCGGAACATAAAGAACTATATGACAAACGCGACAGCGACTACAAAATAGGACTGATATATTTCTGTTTTACATTAAGCGCCATCTAATGTCAGGGAATGAATTTGCATGTTCACTCGGCTCAACGTCAGCGAAAATCGCTTGGGTGTGAACACAAAAAACGCGTTGAAAAACGCTGACAAATAACGCGCGCCGATATTCGTCCCGGTGTGTACGAGCCTTGAGAATGTTCGTCAACCAATCAGATTCAAGCATTCAACGGCCCTGTAGTATAACTGAAAAAACAATAAACATTTAACATGGTTAGCGGTCTTGTTTGACTTCTTAACACAACACAATACATAAATCAATATAGTGAAATTAATGACTCACTAAATGTTATATTAAAGAAAAAGGACATGGTGAGGACAGGAACAACATTAAACTATACACAATCAGGGACACATATATCTGTGTTATCTGGTGTTAAAATTCGCACAAAACAGATAATGTGTTCTCAGTCCAGTGTCATAATAAGAGTCATTTTACAAAATAAGAGTCCTTAGTCACAGAGCCTCACTGTGACACACCCCTTTCAGATCGACACAAGGTGTTTGCATGAAAGCTTTTCATTCCGATTGAGCCGTCAAGCCGATTACTAACAGATTATTTGGTTTCATGTAAACGTTGTAATGAAATGTGTTTATGAGTCAATGTGTTGTGGTGCTTGTTGAATAGAAAGTTATATAAATAGAAAAGAACAGCGTTTATTTGAGTAAGTAATACTAGTTTATTAATTTCAGAGATACGTTATTTTGCTCACTTTTCCCCACCACAGGTTGCCCTTGGGGATAGTAAAGAGCTTTTGGATGCGGATTACAGTGCTGACCAACTGCCTTCTGGGAAACATAGCACAAAAGGCCTGGGGCAGACTGCACCCGACCCAAATAACTATGTTGCATTGTGAGATAACATTTAAAAAAAATTTCAGTTTATATTTTAAATGTTTGAGTCATAATTGCTGTACTGAATATTTTTTCTCGTTCTCTCTCAGGGATGGTGTGAGCGTACCCATGGGGCCCTCAGTTAAGACTGGGGTGGGGCAGAAAGGAGGTTACTCTCTCCTTTATAACGAGTACATTGTTTATAACCCTGCACAAGTACAGATGAGGTACCTCCTTCGAGTTCAGTTTAACTTCTCTTCGCTGTGGTGAGGCTGAGGGGATTCTTTACATAAGCACACTGACATTCTTTACAGTATGAGGTGAAGGACCTACCCTATAGTTATACAGTATGTAGCTCTTCATGAATTTGAATAGACTCTCAAAAATCCTAAAAAAATGGTATATTGTTCTGTTAATGTGTTTTATCTCCCGTTGCAACCTGAAGCTGATATGGGTAATTTCTATTAACATAAATGGAATATTGCAATTATTAATCGAAATAAATAATAATTAAATATATTTTCTACTGATATACTGTTGTGATTTTATATTTGATTTGTGTAAGATGAGAAAGATTATCATAAATTTAGTATTTACATTGTAAGTCTTTAAATGTCATGCTTTGTGTTTGTGTGTGCTGATTTGAAATGGCGTTGAGTGGGCCCCATTCATAGGTATTGAATCTGTGTAAACTGATATGTCTTATGTAAATATCGCTTTCAGTTTAGTTTGCATAAGAATGGTTGTGTGAGCAATTGACACAGGATTTTAAAAAAATAGAAAGTCAGATGAATAGAAAAGAACAGTATTTACTTAGGGTAAAAACTAGAAATGATTAAAACCTGCTTAAGTGTTGGAGTAGCTCAAACCAATGCATTTGATATAGAAAATGAGTGGATTACAATTAAGCAAATGTCAATAATTTGTTGCTTGGACATTTAAGCACCAGAATGCACTATTTAATGTGTAAAAACTGGCTCTTGGTCTAATGGACCCTTATCACATTCCAGGGTTCTCAGAAGCAGAAGTTCCCATTTGCTACAAAAGAAAAAAAAAGATGATAATGTTTTCACAACATTCCAAAAGAGGGGAAAATATGAGCTTGATTACAGCAGTCAGAAAAGAGAATTTTGTGAAATTTGCCATCACTCCATTCGCCACTGTATTAGAAACAGCCTTGTGGCAGTGTTAATTTTAACTGGCAAGTTAATATAACACAAAGTATATAGCGTGCTATCACAGTTTATAGAGTTCACCGATTAATTATTAGATGAACAAGTGAACACGTCTAAATATTTTTCATGTATTAATGTTTAAAGCCTCACCTTTGTTTTACACAGGCTTTAGATAGTTTCATATCTGACTGAGCTGGACATTGAGATGAATGATAATGCTAACGGATAACTCTCTCCAGATGTAGTAGACTTGTTTAGAAGCAGTTTTTTATACAACTCCTCTTTCAAGCTCCAAAAAGGACAAAAACACCATAAAATCACCATGGAAGTATCCTAAATTTCAAGTCATATGACGGCTTTTTGTGAGGAACAGACTAAAATTGAAGTTATTTTACTGAAAATCTCCTTTTTACTGAAAATCTTCCCTTCTCTTTGTTGTCTTGTTTGGAACTTGACACACATGGAACTGTAAACTGGCAGATTGTGTAAAGATTCTTTAGAATCTTTCTTTTGTGTTCAGTGGAAGAAATAAAAGTACAAAGATTTTGAAAGACATGAGGAAAAGGTGGCTACACCCTCTACTACAATGAATATTACCCTGCCCAACCAAGTTTCAAGTTTGGTTTATTTATATAACGCCATTGAAACAGCAGCAGCCGACCAATGTGCTTTACAACATCGGATAAAAGAAATACAAGCAAAAGCAGTAGAAAACTAATTTCACAAATACAATCAGAGACAATTTTCAAACTAAATTACAAAAGAAAATCAAAATACTAACAGAAGTCAAATACAAAAATAATCATTAAAAGCAATGGAAAAATGAGTTTTAAGCAAAGATTTAAAAATCTGTAACGTAGAAGCAAATCTATTGTGAACTGGTAACCTGTTCCAGAGTTTAGGGTCCGCAACAGCAAAGGCACGTTACACTTCTTAACGCAAAACCACTTAGTTCCATGTTATCTTCTTCACACTATGGCAAGGCAGATAGTCTAATTCTTTACATTCAACTTATTAATGGTATTGAATGTAAAACAAAGATACAGTTTGTAAATGTCAAGGACTTAATCAATACATACACAGATGAGCCAAAACATTATGACCATCCTAAAATACTGTTGGTCCTCTACATGCTGCCAAAATAGTGCATGGACTCTACAAGACCCCTGAAGGTGTCCCGTGGTATCTGGCACCCAGACATTAGCACTAGATCCTTCATATCCTGTAGTTTGCGAGGTGGAGTTGCCGTGGATTGAACTTGTTGGTCCAGCACATCCCACAGATACTCAACTGGATTGAGATCTGGGGATTTCGGAGGGCAGGGCAACACATTGAACTCTTCAAGATGTTCCTCAAACCATACCTGAACAATGTGTGCAGAGTGCATTATCCTGCTGAAAGAGGCCACTTCCACCAGGGAACACCATTGTCATGAAGGGGTGTACCTGGGTCTGCACCAATGTTTAGGTAGGTGGTACATGTCAAATTTACATCCATATGAATGGCTGGACCCAGGGTTTCCCAGCAGAACATTGCCCAGAGCATCACACTCCCTCCACCGGCTTGTCCAACTGTCGCCAGTTTGGGGTTTGTCCCTCCTTGGACCACTGTTGATAAATTCTCACCACTGCTGACCGGGAGCAACCCATTCGCCTTGCCATTTCAGAGCCATAACAATTTTGCCCTTGTCAAAGTCGCTCAGATCTTTATTCCTGCCCATTTCTCCTGATTTCAACACATTATGAGAACTGATTGTTTGCTTACCATCTAATTTACCCAGACCTTAATATGTGACCTTGTCAGGAGATGATCAACAATATTATCTTCACCTGTGACTGGTCATAACGTTTTGGATCATCAGTGGCTGCTTCAGAAATCGCATACTCCACTACTATAGTCGGCAAAAAACAGTATGTGACCAAAGAAGTATGTCTGAATCCAGAGTACTCGTAAAAGAGTAGGCAAAAAGTACCCGGATGATCTACTACTTCCGTTGAGATTCTAGAGTGTGCATACGATGGACACTTTACTATCCCGTGAGGCCACAGAAGAAGATCTGGGAATGGCAGTGATAATTTTTTTTTTTTTTGCGGTCGTGAAGTAATTACTTATTCAAAATACCTACTCAAGAGAGTATGTGTTTTCTTACGCCGACAGTGTATTATGTAACTTTTAAATTCATTAGACTGATTAGAAAAAGTTTGTGAAATTGTTCATTTCTTTTGACTGTCTGTTAATGTAAGAGGAATAGTATATTATCATTGATAATCAAAATAACATGTATTGGATTTATATGCAACATGTGTAGGCTAAAAGATTTGAGTATATTTTCCTTTAAACGTGCATGTTAAACTTATTTTTTTTTGTTGACAAAAGCATAAATAAGAAAGCAGTCATATTATTACAGGGGCGTATACATGTTAAAGTATTTCATGATTCACATCATTAGGGTGTTTGTCACCATAGTAGAAGTCTTTAAGATTCAAGTCATTTAGCAGACTTAAAACAAGTTATTGTGATCAACAAATGGAAACAAAAAGATTATCTGCTGAAAAGAAAAAAAGTGAAACTTGAACAAATAGAAACAACCAGATACAAGTAGCAAGATCAATGAACAGTAAAGGGGGAAAAAACGGACATGTGACGTGAGAATATTTGAGGTCGAAAGGTTAAATTTCAGGTGTGCATGTGTGGGTTTAATTTTTGGAGCCTCCGCCCATAATCATAAGTATGTAGAGGAATATCATAATGATATCCAGGTAGATAATTAAGGCAGCGAAGACATACTCTTCAGGATTAAGGCTGTATTTTTGCCTCCCCATCACCAACTGACAGTCCACTGCCAGGAACTACAGGAGAGGGAAAGAGAAACATGTCATTCTTAAGCACTTACATATAGTTTTACATTTGTGATCAGTATTACAGAATATTGATTATGCTTTACCAAAGCGTAAAGAAGGGCTCCCAGACATCCGTAGAGAATCTGCAGAACACGGGAGTAGAAAAAGATGCTGAAGAATCCAAACATGAGTAAGTTGACGGCCAGTATAAGCAGAATGCCGTTACAAATGGTGAAGTCCAAACGAGTCTGAAAGAATCACAGCGAATCAGAATGACCTAACGGGAAAAGAAAAGAACTTGCAGAGCAACTATATAAGCTCAGGTCAAACTTTTCTAAACTTGTTTTTTACAGGGTTTTCTATATACTAATGCATTTTATAGAAGATTTGGTGTTTTAAGTTGCATTTTTAATCAAATGATCTTACGTCAGATTAGTGTAATTTACAGCAGGGGTTTTCATTCTTTTAAGTGCCACAGAACCCAAAATATGATAATTCTAAAATTGTAAAGGCAACTATATTTTAATAAAGACAATTAATTCAGTGAAAAATTTGTAATCAATTTGAAAATATTTAGATTCTATTGTTACATTATTACATACTCATTTACTCAAATAATTTTGATTAAAATAAAAAATATATATGTATTAATTTATGCATTTACATTTTTGACATGTTTTTCATTAAACTTCTCAACGGACCCCCTAGCATCCCCTTGAGGGTCCCCGGACCCCAGTTTGAAAACCCCTGATTTACAGAGAAACTGAACATACCTGGGCAGAAAAGATGATGATGGCGAATGAGATGACCACAGTTGATCCTAAAGCGATCACCACAGCTTCTGTGTTGTGATATGAGGCTACAGTTCCCACCATGTAGGACAGACTCAGTGTGACCACTGACTGCAGGCAATACAAGGACAAATTTATTCTTTAACTTATTTTCTTCATTAACTTATTGTTTATTACACGTTGTAGAACCAACTGAAACCACACGAAAAAACTAAATACCAATTAAAAATGACATGTCAAAAATTTAGCCTGTATAGGTCTACCATTAGAACAATTAGAGGTCCGAAACACGAACTTGTGTCATCTAAAAACGTTTTTTTTTTTTTTTTTTTGTGATTTGACAATGGAGCACTTGACTTTTTTGTGTGAATATCTTGTTGCGCATGCGCTCAAGGGCAAGTGCGTGGGCGAAAAATCGCGCGAGCGAGCAGGAATAACCTTTAAAGTCCTTAAATGGACAATTGGACACGGTATACGAGTGTTTAAGCAAAATACTACGCGCTCTCTCATTTACAATAATCTTGATTTATTAATCGGATCAATTAGAACGAAGGTGAGAGCAATACAACTGTTGTGAATCTGGCGGAAATTCTTAAATACATATCCACGTATGTTCATTTGGCAAGCAGGCATAATAAGCAAGATAATGTACAGTCTGCCATTATAACAAAAATAACCCTCTTCACCGTTTATTTTGAGATAATGACTGGCGGACTGTATATAACTGCTCATTGCTCACATAAACTTTTATATCTAGCCTAAATGTAGCCTACTGAACTTGATACAGAGGAAGTTGGCAAATAACTAATGGTTCACTTGAGGGAAGGAGGTTTTGTCTTGGGTAAACCTATATATTATAGAATGTTATTAAGTACTTAATTTTGGGGAAGATTCAAGAGGAACCAACTTGGTTAATAGTTCACTGAAATTCTGCCTTTCAAAGAGAGTTCAAATCCACAGCCAGTTTTCAAACTAACCCTTTACACAGAATATGGAGAAGAATCAAGAGAAGCATAGAGCCATGAATCAAATCAACCAGGAACAAGGAGAATCGCAACATTACAAACTTTGATTTGAAGCAAAAAAGTATCGGGCAAAAATACAAAGGTAGTACAATCCCATGAAGCATTGAGAACGGCATAATTTAATTAAAAATACTGTAGAAATATTAAACTATTGATTTGAAGATGTTGATTAGGCTATATAGAAACAATATATTTGACATTTATTGCTAATTATGCATAATATTAATAACTTTATTGTAGGGAAACTGGCTCTACGTCATTTGCAGTGCTTCATGGATGAGTGATTGATGGAGATTTCTCTGCAGAATCGTGGGTTATGTACTTTTTCACCAGGAACTGCTCTGTTGAACACGACTATTTGAAAAGTTGAAATAATATGGGCTGATGGCTTCAACAAAAGCATATACCATTGATCAACAACTTTGTTGCTCACAGTAGATATGTCTACAAGTTACCATTCAAAATCAATTTCCTTATGGGAGATTTTTACTTCCAGAACCTGTCTGTTGCAGTCTATTCTGATGTCGTTCTTAGTCTTCTAACTGTAGGTGACTTTTCTGGGTTGCAGTAATGTTCTACATGTAATGACATATTGGTAGCACTATTTTACAGTCCTGTTCCCCATATACATATGTACTTGTAGTAATTGCCATAACTAGGTATACTAACCCTGAACCTAACCTTAACCCATGTAATTACCTTATATTACCCAGTACTTTCTTAGATAAGTACACTGTAAGTACATGTAAGTGCACGTGCTGTCAAATAAAGTGCAACCGACATATTCGTACACAGACACTCACCAGTCCCAACAGGTTCCAAGGATGTGTGCGACTGAATGTGGAGCACACGGCAAGACACATGGCCACCACTGCAAAGATAATGTATGAACTGAGGTACACCCAGATGTTACCCTGAACTGCAGTCTTGACTGTTTTTGAGAAGGTGAACACACAGACTACAGTGAACGTTACTAGTAACTGAATCGTTACCACACTGAACACCTGTGTGGGTGGAAAGAGAGATTGGAAATGACAATGAGGACCACTGTTCAGAGCAATCATTACATTTATTGTAGCTGGCAAACGACAAGAGATTCTCACCTTTCTGATGAACGCTTTCCGAATGGTGTCATCCTCAAATGATGACAAGAACGGCTGATGTTCCTCAGGGGGAGATACATCTGTATTAAAGAAGAAAAAACGTTATTCTTGTGATACCTTCCATGTCATTAGATGGCTATCGTCCTCTAAAATATCTCAAACGTTGCTCAGATTGTTTGATTTTGTCTTTATAATAAAGTAAATGTTAAATGGATATTGCAAACAGTGGAGTACCTGTCGGGTTTGGGTCTTCCGTTTTGCTGACGCCTGCCTCTTCCGGTGGCAGATCAGGTGGGATAAAGCCAACTTGTGCAGGAACAGGTTGGGGGTACATGACAGGGCCCGTAGGATAAGGAGGGGGCATGTATGGAGGGGGAGGATAAATTGGTGCTGTCGTTGCATGGCTGGGGTCACTCTGAATTTTTTGGCTCTCTACGTCCGTCATCCTAAACAAGGTGGTTAGATGAGATTGTATTGTCAGATTGTCAAAACAGGAAATTCGTTTTTAACATGAATTTTAAGTGTCTGTGCAACCATAGAGGGATAAGAAAAAGCATCAGTGTACAGGAAATAGTGGTGTCTGCAGTGTTTGTTTGTTATTATGTGGTTTGTTATAGATCTATGTGATATGCCAACAGCAGATTTAGAAATACATTGAAAAAGAAAAAGAGTGTAGAAGTATACAGATAAAAAAAGATGTGAAATTTGGCACTTTTTTTAGATGGGGGACACAAGGACATTATATTAATAAAAAAAAAAACTATTTCCTCTAACTAACTACAACAATTTTAAACAGAATTTGTTAGCACACTAGAAAATTATAGGCAGGTGAATTTGATCAAGGCTGGAGATAACTGCAGGTAAGTGGATCTCGGCAAGAGTTGAGAACTGTTAGCATATGAAACATGTCTGCCAAAAGGTATAAATAGTAGTATACTTTAATTTAAAAAAGTAAATGTATCATTAATATATTTATATTGTGAAAGACTATAGATAATTTTTTTTAAAGCTGTTGAAAAATAAAATCACACTGCAGAAATACAGTAATAAATATTATATAATTTTAAAATGATAGCCTATATTAACATTTCCACTAAAAACTAATATATTATGTATGCTTTAATATTCTTTTCATTCTTTTGAATTAACTCTTTTAGTTAAGTTCAAAAATCACTTCATTCCGGGTTTTTTCCGAAAACTTTTTCATTAGGTGATTGCACAGAGAATGCTTAGGCATGCGGATTTCACCTAAATCAGTAGTATTGCAGTTCATTTTAATTGGAAATGCTGAGTGGATTACAAATGGGCCAAATCCTCAATTTGTTGTCTAAAAGCTGAGTAGAGCCATTTGAGCCATTGAGTGCATATTCAGTGTTAAAAGCTAGCTTCTCATTTGTATTTCAGTTGACGTTATCACTTTATTTTACGGATTCTACGGAGTCTACGGATTATAATTAGATCAGGTTTACTTTACAGAGAAGTAATTTGTTTTTTCTCTTTAGAACACTCCATTTCTGCATGGACATTAACTAATTAAAATATTCTATATTATTATATCAGAAAAAAAACAGGTAAAAGCTTACCTTCTCCTCAGCGTTGCCTTGTTTGAAGTCTGAGCTCTCGTGGCTCTCAGAGGTTTAATGCTTCACCTGTTTCTCACGGGCTGAAGTAGGTTTCACATCCTCTAATTACATCATTTACAAAAAACCCTGTGGAAAATCTGCTGTGAAGAAGTTGATTGCACACAATCGGCCAAACGTTGCTAATGTATAAGTTCAAATCATTGGCTTCCTTTCTCAGCACATTCTCTGTACATTTTTATGAGTACACCATTAAATGACAATAATTCTTATGTGCAATCTTTTAGCAGTTGTATTCTTTTTTTTTTTTTTACACAAAAGTAGATTAATAGGAAAGTATACTTTGACCATGTTTGCTTGTCTGTGTGTGTGTGTGTGTGTGTGTGTGTGTGTTGGGGGGGGGGGGGGGGGGGGGGGGGGGTTAGAACAGGGTTAACGAGTTTCACAAATTCAACCACAAAATGCAAGTGCAACAAGAGCTGTCGAAATGTAGGTTATTCAAGATTGACACTTCATAACTCAAGCACAAGGGCTTACTTTTTAACAGAATTCAAAAAGTTTACTATTGAAATGAATGTGCAACTGCATTACAAAATCCATTTAGAGTCTACAATCTTTTAAACAAAGGAAGCATGGAAACACAAGAAAAGATGATCCAAAGCAAGACAATCACACTTAAGCATATTTATTGTAAAAAATACATATAAAAACAATTTTTCAGACATACAAAAGATTTAGGCATAGAAACAGCATCATGGACAAACAAAAGACAAAGCCATTTTGAAATGCGATACATATTTACACTTTAATAAATAAATACTCAATTGTTCTTTAGCAGAATGAAGGCAGATTGTCCGTGTTTGAGGATGAGAATATTTGCAAATCATATTGACCTAAAGAACATTCCCAACTCATTCATATTTGACCAACAACTGTCGAAACACAAGATCAAGTGGGTAAAGACCCTTAGCACTGAATAATTACAGAACTTTCTATAGCATTTATACTGTGTGTGTATATATATATATATATATATATATATATATATATATATATATATATATATTTCAAGAAAAAGAATCAAACCACCTTTGGAGTTAGCTACGCCCCAGGTTAGTTTAGTAAATATGGATATTGAGGTATGGCACCACATAAGTTAAAGGGCAAAAGCTAACTTGCAGAGCTTAAAAGATTGTCAAAATATTCTGACAATACCTTCCTCCACTCCACAATGCACTACACCAACACAAAACATTTGGCATTTTTTGTGTTTTCAATTGGAAAGAACCGTTAGACTGTCATGTAAAGGAAACAAATTGCAATACTTTCAAAGCTAGAAGATGACACCTCTCTGATGAGGCAAAGAAATCACCAAAGGTTTTACCACTCAAAATACGAATCCTTGAGCGAAGGCAAAAAGGTAACCGACCAACTGACTGCTACAAGACAATAGAATAATGAACATAACACCCACCCACAATCAAATAACCCCATAAACCGCAAAACATGAAAAAAATCCACTATAAAATATTTAACAAGCATCTCTGTGTGAAGGGCTGTCTAAGGAAATTGCCTTTCCGTTGTTCATTCCAAGGGGGTCGATGACATCGTCATAACTACCCCTCATCTGTTCTCAATCCCCATCTTCAGGCAAAGCATGCGCCATATGGCATTACTGCGCCTGACATACATCTCCACACCACAGATGGCCTCATTCAATGCAGAGAAGGCCTGGTGTAAAGAGCGTAAAGTGACTGGATTTCTTTAGCAGGCCACGTCTAAGATGCAGAAAAGCAATTTCATCTCCTGCACACAACTTTCCCTCCAAGAGTAGTACATGCAGTCAGGTCATCAGTCAAAATCTTTTGCATTTGAGTACACACTTAAACACACACACACTTCACCGCAACCAATAACACGTCCATTAATCTATCTAGTGGAAGTATTGCTCTGATCTGTTAACAAATGTACAGTTCAATTGAGTAAAATCAATCAGATGAAGAGGTTAAAAGAGCTTGATGTGGTAATGAGAGTTTTGCCTCAATGATGGATAAAAGTCACTATTCATGGTAGTTTCAACCAAATTAATCTATTGGAAATTTGACTCTGCCTCTGAAATGTTCATATATAGTAACAAAAAGGAAAGGGGTAAACAAAATAGATTAATACCAAAAACATTTTGTATCATTCGAAATATAAAACATCATGCCTCTTAGGTAATCCTGTGCAATATTTACGCATGTACAACTCATTTGCGTTCATTCGTGATCTGCCCAACAAACTCAAGTAGTTCATTCAAGCCAAAGCAACCCCAGCAGGCTGCACAAAACCAAATGCTAAGCCCAGCATAAATGACATGGTAAAAGAACCCTAACGCCACCCCACTGCGGGAGATCAAGATGTCCACGCGGAGAGGCGTTCCATGTGTAACTTTTCTCTCCATATTTACATATGATTCTTTTTCAAAGTTCTTTTCAGTTTACCAGTTTCACTCTTGAGTTTTAAAGTTAAAGAGCTAAATATAAAAGGCAAGCAGAGCAAACCCGGCGTCCGCTCAGGTGCTGTAGAACAGAGAAAAGCCGAGTCTCAAGAGTCACATCAGATAGTTAAAGCCAGGCTCACTCAGGGCCAGACGGATTAAGCGGACCACAAGTGTTGATGCTTGTTATTTGTTTTTGTTTCTTTGTGTCTTTCTCTCAATCATCTCGTCAGAAAATATATGCACCTGCCAGGGGGGTATAGTCTCCTAAAAGGAAGCAAAAAATAAAAAGTTAAAATAAATATAAAAACAAAAAATTAAATAATGTTGGAGTTCACTCAAACATGTTAACAAATTTGTATGCATTTTGTTCTGGAACACAAAATAAATAGATATTTTGAAAAATTGTGGTCCATACAATCAAACATTGGGGTCTAATGTTGATTATTGAAAATATCTTTATATATGCAGAAGAAAGTCATACATGTTTTGAACAACATGAAGGAGAGTAAATAATGACATTTTGGAAGGATTTTACGAACACATTTTTAAAAAAATAAATCTACTTGAACAAACAAGCTCACCTGAGTCATTGTCATTGCACGTGAACATGAATCAATCAAAAGGATGCTCAGGGCAGCACGGCTTCACTTTGCTCCAAGTGTCAATGCAGCTATTTAGAGAAATATCCACCATTACATATTTGAAAGCATTCATTTGTACAGCAAAATTATGATTTGTAATTATTTTAAAAGAATGGTTAGCGCAACGGATGCTAACGATTCATCGACAATCGATTAATTGTTGATAATGATTTAATCAATAAAAATGATTGATGTTCGATTAAGCGAGGTCATCATTGGAGTGCATCATTTTGAGGTGCGTGCGGCTCATGTGCAGCAGACAGACGTGGAAAAATGAAAGCGAGCACGCTGTGGTTATTACGTCATCTGCTCTATTCGCTCTCACGGTACTTTGATGTCATACACCGATCGGCCTGCACAGCGAACCTTAGTCAAAAACAAGAGCCCGACCGATATGGATTTTTGGGGGCCGATGTCGACATTTGGGAGTAAAAAAAAAGCCTGATATCGATATATCGGCCGATATTATTTATGTGTATATTATAGTGCAGTACCAGTCAAAAGGGACACTTTCCCATTCGTGTGTACAAACTTTTGACTGGTACTGTATATAGAACAGAGTATGGGAGTGGAGTGGTGTGATTTTGAACGGAGCGGATTTTTTAAAAGTCGGAGCGTCGTATCTATAGCACGAATTTTATTTCTCGTGCCATTTATATGCCAAAAAATAGTTTTTGCGTGCATATGAAACACACTAAACCCCTTGGTTAGGATAAATGGGTGTGAAGTGCGTTCTTGCCATAAAGTGCGTATCGTATGCACGCGAAAACTGCTTATCATAGGCTATGCAAGCAAAAACTATTTTTGCCGTATAAATGGTACGAGAAATAAAATTTGTGCTATAGATACGCACTTTCATGAGATCGGGCTGGATCAGGTGAAAGCTAGGGGTGTGCCGGTTTCAGAATTGGTGATGACGGTTATGACGTGAGTCAAATGTGACGGTTCGTAACATAACCGTCGTCGTCCGGGGGTGGGGGGTTATAGGACGTTCGGTTGAATAACTGTTCGTCTGTTATAGGACAACTCGCTCTTAACAGCAAGACAACTAGAAGTGAATGTGCTTTCCAATAAATGAATCACACACAGTAAACAAAACCTTAACAAATTAACTTTGCAATTTAGACGCGCAAACTGCGTGCCGGTGCGGTGAGACATACATGCTCGGGCAGATTCGGCTTGAAGTCGGTCATCCTCGGACGCGGCGCCGCGCGCGCTGTTACAAAAAAAAGCCGTGCACACAGCCAAGCCAAATGGGGTCTTGCGCACCCAACGCGTCATTTTTGCCGTGCGCACCTTCGCGCTCGTGCGGACGCGTCGAGTATAAACAAGGCTTTACTCCGTGTCAGCGCGCGCTCTGTTCGGTAAAGGTGCACAGACCTCTCCCGAATCATCTCCAGCACTCAGCCTCCGACGCACTACTAACTCCGCCTCCGTTTCCCTCGTAAGCTGATATTTGTATTTAAACATTCTCTATGATAAAAAAATGTTTGTAAAAAATATTTTAATAGCACGGTTTTGGCGGTTATAGAGTTCTAATGACGGTGTTCAACTATAACCGTCGGTCTCACGGTTATATAATGACCGTCACACCCCTAGTGAAAGCACATTTTAAACAGGTAACACTTATTCACACACGCAATCGCTTTCTCACTAATGCATTGCATTCGAACAAATGTAATCTTACAGTACTGTCGGTATTTGATTTCGAATGAGCAGAATTCTTTAAGAAATGTAGCGACCCGTAGATAAAATAACTGATGAAAACGTAGTTATTTTTTTCTTTCCAAACAAAATGTGCTCTGCAAAAAGCAGCAATGATATTTAACTTATAATGCTGATAACCTGTAATAAGCATAGCATGTCATAGGAAAAGTTTGCACACTATCCAATAGAGGTGCAACGGATCAAAAAACTCACGGTTCGGATTGTTTCTCGTTTCAGAGTCACGGATCGGATCATTTTTCGGATCAGCAAAAAAGACAAACAAAAAGACAAAACTTATGTTTATTTGTCTTATTAACACTTTTAAATTATTAAATTAAAATATATAAAATCAACTTAAAGTGCACAAGGCATAATATCTTATTTTTTAGAGATATTAGGGGGGTTGACTGGTTGAGTTACCGAAACAGGCCAATCAGGATGCTCTCTGTCTTACATGCGCACACACGCAAGGTCTCTCGCTCTCTATCCCTCTCTGCCGTTCGCGTTGTATGTTATGCACGCAGTATGTTCCGTCTCGCATGCGCGCTCTAGATTCCGGGAGATTTTAACTAATTTGCGGGCATCAGGGAGCCGCTATCGATATGCGGGATTTTTATAAGTTAAATTTTTTTAGGTCAATTCAGCGCAACTACGGACTGTCCGGCCAAAATCCGGACGTATGGCCACCCTACTACACACACCGTCACGGTTTTATCCACTAAGCTCTTTCCTTCATCATTATATTTGACAGGGAAGCCAAAATGCTCCCATATAGGGGTGGGCGATATGGCAAAAATATCATATCACGATTTTTTTCAGGAAAATCACGATTAACGATTTTAACACGATTCTTTTTCATGTTGGTTTTACTATTTTGCAAGTGACTGAGCATTACAGCCAAACTAATGTCCCTATTTAAAAAAAAAAGCCTTATAGGTAACAAAAGAAAAAAGAATGGCAGACATTTAGGCCAAAGTAGCGAAGATAAAAATCTTTATCATTATTTTCTTTATTAAGAATTAGGAACAAAGATACACATTAAGCATACACAACTTAATATACAAATGAAATAAACAGTGCTTTATTTTTTCAGCTACAGTAGGGGTATTTAACAGTAGCATTGAAAAAAGTAATTAGGCTAAATGAACAAATACGAAAATAAAACACAACATAGACTTCACTGTATAAATTATACATTGATTATTATTAAAGCTACTACTAAAGTTCTCAGTCAAGAGCAGTGAGTGATTTCCTCTTTGTTTTGTTGTTTTATTAACATTAAAGGGATAGTTCTCCCAAACATTTTAATTGTCATCATTTACTCTCTCAAGTTGTTTTAAACCCGAATAAGTTTCTTTCTTCTGTTGAAAATAAAAGTTATTTGGAAGAATGTGGCTAACCAAACAGTTGCTGTACTCCAGTGACTTCCATAGTATATGTTTTCCTACTATGAAAGTCAATGGGGACCAGCAACTGTTTGGTTAGCCACATTCTTCCAAATAACTTTTATTTTCAACAGAAGAAAGAAATTAATACAGGTTTGGAACAACATTAGAGTGAGTAAATAATGACAGAATTTTTATTTTTGGGTGAACTATCTCTTTAAGGACAAGAGGCAGCTTGTTTACTAACTGGCTACTGTCGCTTTAAGAGCTGCACGCGACGCGTCTAATATACACGCATTTGACAAGCAGATTTTCTCTCATTTTTTTTCTGTTTGCTTTCACTTTAGACATAACCAACTTTGTTTATGTAAACCTTGTGTGTATTTGACAATATTAGCGCAATAAGACTCGAAAGATAACTAATAACGTAGTCCAGTAAACAGACGCTGTTAGACAGGCTTTTAGTGCCCGTGTGCTTCCGGTGTATGCGCTCAGAAAGCACACGTCAGAACAGCGCATCAGCACGTGAATTACATGTTTAACCAGCAAGGCTTTAAAGCACATGCAAATAATGAACTTCTGTGAACTGCAGTGTCCCGTTCCTCTGCATTAACATTTGTTGTATGTTGAGACGGAGCTCGGCGCCAGAACTGCAACTGATAAAATGCACGATACTACGATATTTCTTCAAAAGCAGATCGTGGAGACATTTTAATCGTCCACGATCAAAAACCGTGATATCGCACACCCCTACTCCCATATATGGGGATTTAAATGACGCGGGGCGTTCAAGCTCCTCCGTTCCTCCGCTCGCCATGACCACGCTGTGGAGATGTGTGTGTGGACTGAACATGCGTACAATTTTTTTTTTACATAAATCAATCCGCGGATCACGTGTGTGCCGAACCGAAGATATTGATCCGAACGGATGATCCGTTGCACCACTACTATCCAATAAACCACATTGTAACTATTCTATTCTATTCCTAATGTTGTTGTTTATTTTATTTATTTAATATGCCTATATATTATGATGAGGAGAAATTTTGTGAGATTTTAAAGCATACTTAAATACTTTATTCGCAATTTCCTTGGGGAACGAAGACGGAGGGGTCTTTCTGATATCAGTGAGCGAGGAGTGGAGCGGTAAATGGTGAACCAGGAGCGGAGTGATTATTAAATGCTTGGAGCGCGGAGGGAATATTGTTGCCGCTCCACTCCGCTCACATACTCTGATATATAATACAGTAGCCTATACATAAACAGAATATTTATAAATAAACAATTTTTTTTGCAATGATTACTAAAATGTATAAAAAATAACTTGTATCAATAAATATATCAAAAGTGTCACTGGCAAAACCTTGTTATCTTCTATTATTAGTCTTAATTCCTCTAGTCTCTACCAGTGGAGGTAGTAATCTTTTTACTAAAGTAAAAGTAATAATAACATAATGCAAACATGTTTAATTTACATATGTACAGTACTTTTACTTAAATACTATTTTAAATAAGTACTCAACTAAGTAGTCAGCAAAATGTACTAAACGTGAAACTACTCATTACGCAAAAAGGCCCTATATAAAGTGTTATAATTATATAAATTATTGGAATATTGTTTGATGTTGTAACGTAGCGGCAGAATGGGCTTTAACACTGTGTCTACACCGAACGCGGCCGTTGGTTGATGAAAACATTGATTAAAATTAAGATACAATTAATACAAAACGAAATTCACTTTAAAGAAAGGTTTTGTGCTTTCTGTTTGATGTCTCTGTGAAAAGTTAATGCTTTCAGAGCGGTCACGTCCGTAACGGAGAACTGTCACGGCCGTAACATTGTTTTTTCCTCATTAATGCGAACACGAAAAATAAAATAAAATGAATATTTTATGTTCTGTGGAGACTACGGTTAGGCTACTCATAATTTGTATTCTGAATACGTAACAACGGTACATGTATTCCGTTACTCCCCAACACTGATATTAGTAGCCTATATAACCTTATATCTGCAAGATATTTTAATAACACGGTTTTGGCAGATATAGAGTTCTAATGACGGTGTTCAACTATAACCGTTGGTCTCACGCTTATATAAGAACCGTCACACCCCTAGCGTCAGCGGCACTTTTCATACAAATACTTGGTATAGTTTGGGCTCAAACGAAGATAATTATGCTTGACCATTTTTATGACAAGTTTATCTGTTATGTACAATGATTTGACAGACCACATATTCATGTAAAACAGCTACTTTTTCATGCTATGAAAATGGAGCACTTCTAATATGCCAGCAAATTTAAGAGCACTTGTTAAGTGATGTTCATATTCCCTATATTCACTGTAAAGCCAAGTTTCTAGGCTTTAAATTGACACCTATTTTGTGTTGGTTAAGCAAGCGGTTAAGTAACGTGATCAATTAGTAGCGCCACCCGCTTCGGATTTAAGGTGGGTTAACAATTAATCGATTGTTCATTTAAACAACGATCAATTATGGGAATTTATGTAAATTGACATCCCTATTTAGTGTAATTTACAATTACCTCTTATGGTAAACGCACAGGCAAGCCAGCCGAGCAATGGTTTCTCCCTGTAGAAGGTCTTCGAGACAGATAGAGCACTCTCCACTGTCCTTAGCTAGCACATCCGCTGTTGGACAAATAAGATACAACAATTAATAACTAAGATATTAGCAGATGAAAGAAAAACGGTGATAAAAACTAATTGGATGCTTACTGTTATAAGGGAGAGGTGGAGAAGTTAGACAACTTAAAAGGTGTTCCTCGATCCGCCCTCCAGGGAACGGCTTGGTGCAAAAGGGACAGCGAATAGCTGGTAAGGAGAGAAAAAAATAGAACTAAGCAATGCAAAATGGATACAGAAAGCGTTTCATGACACGCAGGCCAGTCAGAGTAATAGACGGGTGAGTTTGCACCCATGTGGCCCACTTTTCTGAACCCTCTGGCTGGACAATGGCCATCTGACCAATATAGTGTAAAAAAAAAAAAAAAAAAAGATTTACACAGACATCATTAGTAAACTGGATTTCAATCCATCATGGATCATCCTGTCAGGAATGCCTGAAATGTCTATAATGTCCCCAAAGCCTAATTACACCACAAGCTCATTAGTCTCGTGCAGAACCATTAATCTATTTTAATCACCTTCCATATTTTATATGCTTTAAAACAGAATAAAATCACTTAAATACCAGTCAACCTGGGTTTGTTGTCTTTTTTATTATGTACATAAACTTTCAGTAACACTTTACAATAAGGTCCCTTAACGGTCACCATCCCGTATACGGGAGATCTAACTTTACTTCGCTATATTACTATTAAATCCTAATCGAATTATGACAAACTATATATCGTTGGAAAGGTCTAAGACTGCTAAATAGATATTTGACTGCTGTTTTTTGCTACAAATTATGTAGGAAGAGTAACCGATGATTTTTTGACAAGAGTGCACCTCAAAAAAATCTGCATCATAACAGGAGTTCTGACCTTCATCACAAAAAGTTGATGCACACAGCTTTAATAATTGAAACTTTGATTTTCATGCTAAAAGTGCATAATAAAACAAATAATCTAGTATTTTTCAATAAAAAATTATAATATAATATTATCCTCTAAAAAGTATAATATGTATATTATCCTCTAAAATATAATATCTTTTTTATCGCCTTTTTTATTATATCACATATTTTAGTAGTTATCATAAATTAGGTATCATTTGAAAGCTTACAAACTCAGAATTCATCCTGTGAAAACCGCTTTGAAATTGAAGGTTGCGTTACCATAGAAACGGTACTCTAAAATATTTGATCAGGCTCCTCCCCTTTTGGGCATCATTATATTTCATAATTTTATCATCAAAACCTTTTCTAATATTGACGAAACACATTGTCAGAAAGGTCTGTGTCTCAAGGTTCCAAATTGTGTGACAGAATTGATATTTGGACAGAAATTTTTTAATTTGTTAAGGCAGAATGTATACAACTAAATTCAATGGAATGCATGTCACCCGGTGGCTGGTACTACACCTAAACAAAATCTCATGGGAACTTCAATTTTTGTGATATCAACTTCAAATTTGAAACACAACTTGGTTAGATATATGGCTTTGATTTTATAGTAATTTTAGAGCAAAAAATGTTTTGTAAAATATATATTTTATATAAAATAAAAAATATATAGTACAGTATATTTGATTTACTGTAAATTTACTGTTTTCACTTCAGCAATAATCTGCTGAGTGTTTCCTTTAAAACAAGACCAAACTTAGGTATATATTCCAAAGCATTCTTGAATTACAACCATTTAAGTTTGAATAGTGCATTTAACCCCCATTCTCAAAAAGGGGGATGACAGCTAAGGGGTTAAGTTAAAGCATTAACTTATTAATGATTTATAAGTATTATTCATTGTTAGTACCAGATGAGTAATGCTAACAAATGGAACCACTTTTGGTAAAAATTGTTACCAAACTTTCATTAAGCTAACTAGTTAAAAACAAAATTAGATGAACAGTAGAGACTGGCAACTGAAGTCACTTTCTTTCAATGAAAGTGAACGGTGACTGGGGTAGTCTACCTAAAATATTTTGATAAAGTAAAATAGATCTTAAACAACATGAGATGAGTAATGACATTTTTTTAGGTGAACTATCCTTTTAGAGTAATACGGTTAAGTATAGGCTTATTTTGTTTAATACATAATATATATGAACCTGTTGAGCTCCGGTCAAATCTGTTAACTGTATATTTGGCTATCACTCACTGTAAACAGTGCAGGTTTAAATGACAGAACGTAGATTTAACAGGGTGTAACGTTTGAAATGACTGTCAAAGGAACTAAACAATCTGCTCTTTAACTTACCACCGTGGCGGTTGTTGAGCCTGTAGAGGCCGATCCACGCCTCGGAGACTGGCCGTGCGTGGGTCCCTCTCAGCCGGGCGGACCTCGCCGTGACGCCGCCGGTGGAAGAATGGCGACCGCTGGGCAAACGCTCCGAGAAAGTGCGCTGCGGTGCACGGCCTATTTCCTCTCCGCCCACAGGGCCTCCAGGACTGTCATCCTCCTCGCGTTTCTCATCGGCTCCGTTCTCGTCCGTCGGCGAGGCCTGGCTGCTCAGCGACGGGGATGTGTGGCGGTCGGCGGGACTGCCTTCGCTGCTCGCCTGCTGCCCGGTATCCGAGTCGCTACCCTCCTCTGACCTGCTGCGGTTCGTCTCGGAGTCATGATCAAAACTCCCGGAGAACTCCACCATGAGGCTAGTGGGCCTGGTGCTTTGGATTCGTCGGCAGGATTCTCTCTTGATGCCATCTTTATCGAAAGGTGTCGAAGCAGCTTCCTCATGTAAACGGCTCGATCTCGTCCCCATGTTCACCCGCGCGCAGAGCTCGCGCACTCCCTAATACCGATCGATCGATGACTGATCAGCTAACCCGATTGCTTCCGTCACAAAGCCCTTAGGCCATACAACCATATGCCACATTTATTTTAAAGTCGTAATGATAACACTTGTGCTGTGTTTTATTTCGCTTTCAGTTATGACAACTGCCTACCGCATTTTCCTGGCAGTTATTTCCTATGGTCCTTGTTCAACGGCAGCAACGCACCACACCGGAAGTTGGCCTCTTTCCTTCTTCGTTCAACCGACAGTGTGACCTCACGCTCTAAATTAACTTTTTATCCAATAGAGGAGCAGACGCATTTGAAAAGTGGGCTATGTGAATTATTTCGTGAGAAATTGATAATTAAATATTATGCTAGATGTCATCCGCAACCAGTTATTTTACGCGACGTCACAAAATTGTGCTGCCTTTTTATAGCCTGAGCCTTTATTTATTCATTTATTTGTATTATTGATGATTTGCATTCCTGTTGTTTTTTATTTGTGTTTTTTTTTGTGCTACCTACCTTGACATTAAAAAAGAGCATGGACGTCACTGCAATCATTTATTCAAAGTGACAAAAGACTTCACATTTAACTTTTTAAAATTAATGTTCATACCATCTTGGGAGACAACAGTGAACACTTTTCAAATATCCTACATTTAATATATTTATGCAGCTCAGTTTTATATCACTTAGGCTATATTATAGTTTTTTAAACGATAGACTACTATAAACATTTTTTGTCAATACTAAACTAATGAATAACTATTGAAATAAAAAAAAATCCCTTGTCTCTGAACAAACCACTGATTTCAAGCTGGGAATCTTTCACATCACAATGCTCAGGATTATACATTGAGGCATTTTCCTATAAAGAATATACCCAAAAGAAAAAAGAATAGTGTGCAGAGTTGATGTATTGCTGCAAAAGTTATTATTTGTGACATTTGATCTTCTCACTTAAATACACATTAATCTAAAGCTTTTCTGAGTCAGTGTTGCAAGTCCAAACAATACAAGGGTCATGTTTACTTTTACAGCATCATGTGGTTCAGTATTGCCCCAAAACTGTGCAAAATTCAACATGCAACATAAAAATCAGCCATACAAAGCTATGAAGATGATGCTTTTATTGCTTTGTGTTGGCGTCTCACTGGCACACGATTTAACTACATCAGCACAGCTAAAGGACATTGAGGAAAGGCTGCGAGCCACAGAGGAAACACTGAAAGAACTGAAGAGAGAGAATGAAGGTATGAAGGTTTTTATCTACATCTATTATTTTCAAGACATTCAATCATTTCCAGCCCAACACATTATAAAAACCAATGTGGCATTATAACAAAATTATGAAATGTTCATTCTGAACAGCTTTAAGGATTTTCACAAAAGCCTCAAGTGATACACTTGAATCTATCCAGGCAGAGAATAAAGGTAAATGGAAATAATTATTCTATGACGTTATATTTAAAACCAAGTGTAAATAAATATGACAAAACCAAAAAAAAATCCTTATCTTTTCACAGCCAAAAAGGTTGCCTTTTCAGCTGGACTTTTGGCATCTGGATCCCAATCATTTGGACCCTTTGAAACTCGGAAAACCCTGATCTACCAAAAAATTTTCACTAACACTGGAAATGCATATGACTCCAACACTGGTAACCTGTCCTGTTCACATTTCTTTATTTTGTTAATTGTTGCGTGTAAAGTAAATCGTTTTCAACTTAAAGGCATTTCTTTACCGTTTCTGAATTCAAATGTGTATGTGTCTCACAGGTACTTTCACAGCACCAGTGAAAGGAGTCTATTTCTTCAGATTTTATGCTCATGCTCACCCTTTTAAGAAAGTGGCAGTCAGTCTCCATAAAAATAATCAAATCCAATGCTCTGTGTTTTTTCTGAAGCCTGAGACCAATGCTAACGGCAGCAATGGTGTTGTTCTCTCACTGGAAAAGGGTGATGAAGTGAACACACAGCTGTGGGAGAACAGCTGGGTTTATGATGATGAAAGCAGCTATACCAGTTTCAGCGGTTTTCTGCTTTTCCCTTTGTGAGGTTCCACTTAATTCAGAATGGAATGTGACAAAAAATGTACTTGTGTCATAATGATAATAATAATATTTGAGTGATATTTACATTAAAGGAAGAGAACATTGTGTGATCCTAAACTCTTCTTGAATTTTGAACATAAAAAATAATCATTAGCTTCTCTAATGACATCGAACTTGAAAACATTTTAGAAATTGTATCTTTATTCTTTTTGTTGACGAGTTTTCTTCAGCCCTTTTTTAATGTATCAGTATGCAGTAAATTCATTTTAACAACCATACAAAAAGCCAGTCAATGTCATTATTTTACTAGTCTTGATTATGTATAAATACATTTATCATACAAATCCAGATGTAACTGCAAATACTCACCTGAATGTTTATGATACTGAAAAATCAAAAACTAGAAGTATATGGATGTTTTTATGTGCATGGCGAATCCTCAGTTTATAAGATTTTCTTTATTCATTTATCATTCAAACATCAGAGCAATAACAATTCATAATCTGTTTTACAGTTCGCACACCACATGATACTCGGAACTACAGTTAATATCATTCCATACACCATTTTTGTAAATAACTGTACAGTCCTCTGCCCCATTATGATCGTTTGGCTCATTTTCTTTCCAGTTGGTGAAAGTTAAAGGTTGGCCATTCATATCTACAAAATGCCCTTCTTTCTGTCTGTCAGTTGCACCAACATATATGTAAGTAGACTCGAGGGCAGCTTGCAATGATGTTAGAACTTTGTTCTCATCTTCACTTCTTGGCAGGACAATTTTAGCACCAGCGTCAGAGCAGAACCTCTGTGCCTTTTCAAAAGTTCCCTTTAGCCCATCGGACACATAATATTTCTGTCCCAGTTTCCTGAACATTTGAAATCCTAGGACTAAAAAAAACAACAACAAAAACATTTTAAAAAGGAATTGTACTATTATCTTTGAAAAAATATTGTTATATGAATAAACAAAAGATGTGGTGTAAACATTATTTATGTAGGAGTTTTCGGTAACGCTTCCTTTTACAGTCCTGTTACCCATGTACTTACTATGTACTTATTATAGTAATTATAATTACTGGGTAATAACTAGGTACTAACCCTGAACCTACCCCTAAACCTACCCCTAACCCATGTAGTTACCTTATATTAGCCAGTACTTTCTAGGTAAGTACACTGTAAGTACACGTAAGTACTGTACTGTAAAAGGAAGCGTTACCGAGTTTTCTACCTTTCTCTACTGCAGCGAGTCTGTCAGTTAGGTATTTGACATCTGATTGAAGTTGTAGTACTAATGCACTTTGAACACCAGTAGCTGTAAAAGAATACCAGAGTTAAAATCACAAGTAGAGTATGTGGAAGAAAAATATTTTACAGATTTTGTCTTGTACTTTATGTAAACTCAATTAAGATATAAATATCTTAATTTAGAAGAAAAATACTTGATCACAGTCTAGATCTTCATTCAGCATCATTTATTTTACATAGACCTTATAAGTTTTTTTGATTGACTGACTTTTGTATTCTGTTTTCAGACAAGAAAAAGATTGACACCTTACTTGTTTCAATTAATAGTTTTTCTGTTTTATAAAAATATATATATTTACCACACACACACACACACACACACACACATTACTGTTTTAATTTTACCTGGCAGACCTGGATTTCCTTTGTCTCCTTTAGGGCCAACAACACCCACGGGTCCTATTTTCCCTGGGGGTCCCTGTGCACCAACTCCTGCAGAGAGAAAAAGTGTGTGTGATGATTAAATCTCATTTCTCTGATCTGATCATTTCTCTGATTTCATCACCTTATCTTTCAGCATTAGAACAAAGGTACCACTCAATCAATTTTGAACACAACAAAACCAACAACCAGGGGGGAAAAAGGCATTAACCTGGATCTCCTTTTTCCCCTTTCGGTCCAGGAAACCCGTCTCTTCCATCTCTGCCAGGGCTGCCGTTGTGTCCAGGTGTGCCCGGCACCCCAGCATAAGCTGGACAGCTACTTTCAGATGCAGCTAGAAGCACAAACTCCATTAGGAGCAGCGCAGCACAGAGGTGATGCTTTAACAGCGCCATCTGCTGTTCACTATGGAAATGGCAAGATTTCGGTTTCTGCAATGCAGTGTTGTTCAGCTGTCAGAGAACATACACGCATTCTTGAGTTCAAATGATACAATTATTTCCACTTTTCCAAATTTCCATTTTTATAAAGATGTCATTCCTCTCTTAATATAATGATATTTAATAACAGTGAGGTAGGTTTGATATAGCTAATATAGGTATATTTAGTTATTTCAAACAAGTTTACTTGGTTAAGGTAAAAAGAAAGTAGGCTAGCCTAAATTAAGAGAAATACATGTAACTTTTTGTCTCATATTTTTTCAGTTCTCTATTGAATGTTAAAAACGATTTTGCCCAACAGTGAATATAAAATCCTTTTCACCGAAAACTGGACAACAATACAAATTACTGACATTTATACTTCAAAGAGCATAGCATGGATCTTACCAAAAGAATAGGCCTGTCGATCAGCACTACATTGTGAACAACTGCACGCAGACACTTCACCAAATTTCAGTGACGTAGTAACTCAGATCAGAGTTCGTTCGATGACAAAACAAAAAGAGAAACAGACTATTAGGTTTATTTATACCGGTGTCATTTTTAAATCTGTAGTTCTATCAGTCTTATCTTTTTCTTTACCGTAATTCAGCCTATATGCGAAATGTAATGAAAAACGACACATGATTTATGACTAAACGATAGGTCACTCAGTCTTGAAAAGGATAATAGGCTAGATGAAAGGTTTTGCTTCCCAATAGGTGCACTGCTCAGCAGGCACGTGCATACATAGACATCAAAGGGGGCTTGAGCACCTGCCCTTTTTATTCCTGGAGAGACAGTGCCCTTTTTTTCTGGGGTGCTTTTTTTTTTTATCTTTGAAAAATAATATATATTCCTGTTTCCTGTTCCCTGTCAAACAAATATATTTATTGAATAGTGTATCTAAATATCAGGTCAGGAGTTCTGAAGCGCCGATCAGAGTAAACGCGTCTGCTCTAGTGAGCTCGCGCTGCGCTGCCGTTTGGACTTTGAGCCAAGCCGATAAACAGTCCGTGTGAGGCGCGTGCGGTTCAAATGAGTTTCGTTCCGCTTTTGGCACATAAACATTATCGATTGATATCGAGTATTGACGATATTGACTCGAACTTGATATCGTTTTATCAATAAAAATTATATCGCGATAATGAATGAATGAGCATATCAATTTAAGACGTGGCTAAATGTAATTTATGACCTTGTATGGAAAATCCAGACGTTTTTATGACTTTTTATGGCCTAAAATTCTTATTATTAAAGTTAATGACTTACATCAAGAGTCGTTCCCCCTGAAATGTTGAAATCTAAATTGGTGAATTTAGAAGAAATCTACAGATGCAAACAGATGGAGGATAGTAGGTTTAAAACAAACTCCATCTAAATGTGGATTTTGAAGGTTTTATTTGATGATGATGATACAGTCCTCCCTCAAATGTGAAACTAAGTCCATGTCAGCATCAGGTGTATCAAATATATACTTGATTGAAACTAGTAGCATAGAAAACATGCACATTGTGGCATGGTTTTTCTTTGCTGCTCTATAAACCTATGAATACTAAGGAGACCATGGTTTCTGTGTGAACTGATTATTTTGTAGACATCTTTTGAAAATGAAACAATTGCGTGAGTTTGAGTAAGATAAAATTAATTAACTTTTTTAATAATTTTTTTTAAAAGTCAGAGTTGTGTTAATATACAGGTCCTTCTAAAAAAATTAGCATATTGTGATAAAGTTCATTATTTTCCATAATGTAATGATAAAAATTAAACTTTCATATATTTTATATTCATTGCACACCAACTGAAATATTTCAGGTCTTTTATTGTTTTAATACTGATGATTTTGGCATACAGCTCATGAAAACCCAAAATTCCTATCTCAAAAAATTAGCATATCATGAAAAGGGTCTCTAAATGAACTATTAACCTAATCATCTGAATCAACTAATTAACTCTAAACACCTGCAAAAGATTCCTGAGGCTTTTAAAAACTCCCAGCCTGTTTCATTACTCAAAACCGCAATCATGGTTGCCGACTGCCGACCTGACTGCTGTCCAGAAGGCCATCATTGACACCCTCAAGCAAGAGGGTAAGACACAGAAAGAAATTTCTGAACAAATAGGCTGTTCCCAGAGTGCTGTATCAAGGCACCTCAGTGGGAAGTCTGTGGGAAGGAAAAAGTGTGGCAAAAAACGCTGCACAACGAGAAGAGGTGACCGAACCCTGAGGAAGATTGTGGAGAAGGACCGATTCCAGACCTTGGGGGACCTGCGGAAGCAGTGGACTGAGTCTGGAGTAGAAACATACAGAACCACCGTGCACAGGCGTGTGCAGGAAATGGGCTACAGGTGCCGCATTCCCCAGGTCAAGCCACTTTTGAACCAGAAACAGCGGCAGAAGCGCCTGACCTGGGCTACAGAGAAGCAGCACTGGACTGTTGCTCAGTTTTGCATGTCATTCGGAAATCAAGGTGCCAGAGTCTGGAGGAAGACTGGGGAGAAGGAAATGCCAAAATGCCTGAAGTCCAGTGTCAAGTACCCACAGTCAGTGATGGTCTGGGGTGCCATGTCAGCTGCTGGTGTTGGTGCACTGTGTTTTATCAAGGGCAGGGTCAATGCAGCTAGCTTTCAGGAGATTTTGGAGCACTTCATGCTTCCATCTGCTGAAAAGCTTTATGGAGATGAAGATTTCATTTTTCAGCACGACCTGGCACCTGCTCACAGTGCCAAAACCACTGGTAAATGGTTTACTGACCATGGTATTACTGTGCACAATTGGCCTGCCAACTCTCCTGACCTGACCCCCATAGAGAATCTGTGGGATATTGTGAAGAGAAAGTTGAGAGACGCAAGACCCAACACTCTGGATGAGCTTAAGGCCGCTATCGAAGCATCCTGGGCCTCCATAACACCTCAGCAGTGCCACAGGCTGATTGCCTCCATCCATGCCACGCCGCATTGAAGCAGTAATTTCTGCAAAAGGATTCCAGACCAAGTATTGACTATTGAGTGCATAACTGAACATAACTATTTGAAGGTTGACTTTTTTTTTTGTATTAAAAACACTTCTTTTACTGGTCGGATGAAATATGCTAATTGTTTTAGACAGGAATTTTGGGTTTTCATGAGCTGTATGCCAAAATCATCAGTATTAAAACAATAAAAGACCTGAAATATTTCAGTTGGTGTGCAATGAATCAAAAATATATGAAAGTTTAATTTTTATCATTACATTATGGAAAATAATGAACTTTATCACAATATGCTAATTTTTTTAGAAGGACCTGTATATACTTTTTTGTTTAAAAAAAGTTAAAAAAAAAAAAACGTAATAATGAGAAGTGCCCTTTTTTTCACTTGAGCCCCTGCCCCTCAAAATGTCTGTGCACGTCCCTGCTGCTCAGTGTTTGTCTAATGCAAATGCACTGTGTTTGAACAGTTGAAATAACACCAGGACATCAAATACTTTTGTCCCAAAGAGAAACTTTTCTCATTAACCTATTTATCTGTTATAGTTGCAAAAATAGGCCTACACTTTCGGTGTAGGGTAGGCCTACACACCTAAGGTAAATCTTAGGACTCTGACTGATTGAATGCAATTGATTAGGCCTATTGGTTACTTATTTAAAGTTACTAAAATGTCTGTGTTTTTTTTATCCACTAGACATTCAAATACCACATTTAGGCTACATAATAATGTAACATGCTGAGAAATCACAGGGTCAATAGCCTATCACTGATTTGTGAAAAGCATGTGAACCATAAAGTAGAGGTTTACATTGATGAATCCAAATAACAGAAAATACTTGACACTGCTTTAAGTTTTATAAAACAACAAGATCCAATTTTTGTGTAAATATGAATGATTAACTTTCTTAGGACAATCAGGATTGAAGTCATGGGTTTGCTTATTTCATCCAGAAGTACAAAGGCTAAACTTATGACATTAGTCATCAGAACCAGAGCATTTTTTACTACCGATTAATAAAGTGCTCATGCCCGGTGTAGACAGGATGTTATAGTTTGTTCTATAGTTTGTTTCCTAAACTAAAAAAAACAACAACTTTATACTTAGTGTGCCTGTAATGATTTCCATTACACGAGAGTAGATGTTAAAACTTCATGCTGATTTGTACTCGGCTTTCGCCAAGATAAGCAAAACTAAGACGTAGCTTTACAGTAAACTATGCTTCAACATCCATTTACGCTTCTTTCCATAAGGTGGTGTGACTCCCCTTCTGTCCGGCGTTAACGGCAGCAGTGTACTTGGCGCGTTAGCGCACGCGACGGCTGCAACTACAGGACCAGCACGACAACCGTCTGGATTGAACCGAGTAGGGGACATCTCTAGGGTCTTCAAGTGGGCACCTTCCGTCCTCAGTGTTTCGTCGACTAGCCCACGACACCTCAAGAGGGCTCGACAGTGACTCTGGCGTCCCAGTGTCACCCCCTCCGTCCCCCACTCAACTCAGCCCAGCTTACTGACCTCTACATCCCTCCTGCTGCTGAGACCTAACCACAATCTCACAATCTCTCCGCAACCCGACCATACGCGCCAACCCGTTTGACTAAGGCTATCGAGCCCCACTGGTGCGTTAATATGCAGTTTCAGTGGACAACGGTTCCGTATGGCATACCACCTACCGCAAAACACAATATCTGCCCAACCACCCGTCATTCACGCAATATCCACAGGAACGTATACAAACAAACCAACAGACTCTTCAAGTTTACAAGAATTCTACGAAACCGTAGCGTGGCGGCCTGTACACAGCCAGCTAGAATATTTCCGTCTCAACCACAGCCAGTTGCTGCTCCTTTCTGCTGCTTCAGATAAGTTCTTTACTGTGCGACGCAACTCTTGGCCGCTGAATCCGATGTCTCTGAGGAACCGGGTTGTAGAGTGTGCCACAAAACCTCGACAACCCACTTCCACTGGATAAACCTGGACTCTCCATCCTCGCTGTTCTGCTTCAGTGGCCAGATGAGCATACCGCAGTTTCTTCCTCTCATATGCCTCATCTACTGCATCCTCCCATGGCACTGTTAACTCTATCAGTTGAACAATGCGTGCTGATCCAGACCACAAAACAATATCTGGTCGTAGGTTAGTGGTGGCAATCTCAGGTGGAAAAATAAGCCGTTGGTCAAGATCAGCCAGCATCTTCCAGTCCCTAGCAGCTTCCAGTTGTCCTGGGCGAGAATTGGTGTTAACACCTTTTCTTGGTGGTTGCTCGCCTGGGCGGAGGAATATTGTCTTCTGCGTGTAATGTTTTGCTAGAACAGGTGGCAACTTATTGGTCATGTTACGCTTGCCTTCTAATGCTAAAGCCAAACATCGCAGTACTTGGTCATGGCGCCAAGTAAACCGACCTTGGCTAAGAGCCACCTTACATCCTGTCAAAATGTGCCTTAATGTGGCAGGTGATGAACACAAAGGACAAGAGGGATCCTCTCCTACCCAGAGGTTTAGGTTCTGCGGTGATGGGAGAACATCATATGTTGACCTAATAAGGAAACTGATCCTACTCTCTTCCATTGACCAAAGGTCTTGCCAGCCCATCTTACGTTGTTCCACACTCTCCCATCTCATCCACTCTCCCTGCTTGGCCTGGGAAATGGCCTTTATACACCTCATCCTCTCCTCCTGCTGTCGCACCTCGTTGACTACCAGCTTCCTCCTTTGAGCTGGGCCTGCCTTGTGCCATTTAGGAGGAGCTAAACTGAGCCCAAAACCCCCTCTTCCATGCTGTACCTGTCCCACGATATCCCTAATTTGAAGGGCAGCCTTTGCCTCTACTACAGATTTCTTTGCTGACCACTTTCTACCAGTTTTTAACACAGGGGCTGCCTCCCTTACACATTTGTCGCGTGACTCTACTAAGGTCATTTCCAGTCTGACCTTGGCACACTTGAACTCCTCGGTTAAAGCAGAGACGGGCAGCTGCAATATTCCTTTACTATAAAGTCCTACTCTGCTGAGGCAGCGTGGAACTCCCAACCATTTCCTGATGTATGAACTTATCAACGCTTCCAGCTTATCCACTGTTGTCAAACAAACGTCGTACACGGTCAGTGGCCACAGCAACCTCGGCAGTAGACCAAACTGAAAGCACCAGAGTTTTAGTTTACCAGGTAGAGGACAGCTGTTTATGCTCTTCAACCCTTCCACTGCTTGTCGTCTAACTTCTCCCACCCGAACTGTGTCCTTTAGATCCCCATCGTACCATCTCCCAAGACTCTTCACTGGCTTCTCAGAAACTGTTGGTATTGCCTCACCATTAATGAAGAATGTTTTATCTACTACCTTTCCTTTAACTATCGAGATGCTCCTTGATTTAGAGGGCTTAAATTTCATTCGTGCCCATTCAATATTATCTGTTAACTTCCCCAATAACCGATTAGTGCAGGCTACTGTTGTAGTCATGGTTGTCATGTCATCCATGTATGCTCTGATTGGTGGTAGTCGCATCCCAGAAGCCAAGCGCTCTCCTCCTACTACCCATCTTGATGCCCTCATGATTTCTTCCATCGCCATGGTAAAAGCCAGTGGAGAAATGGTGCATCCTGCCATTATTCCAACCTCTAGGCATTGCCATGCAGTGCTGAATTTTGGAGTTGAGAAACTGAATTGCAAATCTCCAAAATAGGCTTTCACTAAATTTGTTATGGACATTGGTACTCTGAAAAAATCAAATGCTGCCCAAAGAAGCTCATGTGGCACTGAACCATATACATTAGCCAAATCCAGGAATGTCACATGGAGCTCCTTCCTCTCCTTTTTAGCTGACTGAATTCGTTGCCAGATAACATTGATGTGTTCTAAGCATCCTGAGAACCCTGGAATGCCCGCTTTTTGAACTGAGGTGTCAATGAAGCCATTCTTTAACAGGTATCCTGCGAGCTGTGGTTTGCTTCCTGTCGCTGGATTTCATTCGACTGACTTGACTGACTTCGTAAGAAGTACTGATCAATGCGAGGCCCTTGTCCCTTCTCCCTCAAGCATTTCATTTTCCCTTGATGAACCTTCAAACCCCTGACCGTTGTCGCCTTGCTCCAGCCACAGACACAAACTTGGAGTTCAATGACTTTACTTACTGCAGATCTTGAACTAGTCTTACTCTCCATACTCATATCCGTTTCCATTCCTAAGTCGTTAACCATGTTGTCCAACATTGAGTCATCTTCCGCCCCCGCTCTCGCAGACTCTAGGGGTATTTTTCTCTTTAATTTCTCAGAAGCCTTGGGCGGGTGTCTCCAGCATCCTGTAAACACGGAGCTGGATACTGCCGACAAGGGTAGCTAACCCTTACCAGCCCCATTGGGGTCTCTTTCCTCCTGTCAGCTGTCTCTCCAGGCTGTCACAAGGTCTTTCCCTGGTTGCCAGCAGCACTATTCACCGCAGTCACTGGATGTATCCAGATCTTCATGATTTCCATTACACGAGAGTAGATGTTAAAACTTCATGCTGATTTGTACTCGGCTTTCGCCAAGATAAGCAAAACTAAGACGTAGCTTTACAGTAAACTATGCTTGTAATGATGAACAGCTTTATGTGCACAAATCAGCATGTTAGCCAATAAATGTCATTAGTTTGAGTTATTTGAAGTTTTGTTAGACACACAATTAATGTCAGATTTGCAATGAAAAAAAAACATGACAAATAATCATAAGAAATATTTTATTCATTAATTTGAAACAATAGGCTATTTGTAGGCTATTTATAATTTCATACATTTCATAAAATTCTTTCATATGTAGGCCTACTGTGAATTCTATGAGCATATTAAAGACATTGTTTACAGATTTGTATATTTCTTAATATTGTATCACTGTAAACAATTATTTTTGCTGCTTGTTAAATTTACTTCATTAAAAGTTACAAAAAGTAACACACATAAAGTAACACAGTCGCTGAACATCATTTCTAATCATTTGTGCCCAATCTACTTGTAAAACTGAAGTTTACTTAATTTAATTTGAGTTGGAACAACCTGAATACTTTTTGCAGCAGTAAAAATTTAAATTGGCAATGGATTTTTAGTTTCCAACATGCTGCTGGATCAGGAGAGTAAATGTTGAAATCAGGTGCTATGAGTTTTTGAGTAAAAGGCAAGACCTGTTAGACCTTGTGGGTTGCTACATGAATTAAGTTGATTACACTCAATGAGCTTTAACTGTTCTAATTTCAGTACAGTGACAAGCACTTATTTATTCATTGCAAATATCCATTCAAATAGTCACAGCTTATTATAAAAGTAAATAATAATCAAGAGTTCAGATTACTTGAATGAGATCCAGCGCCGTTATCTTCAAAATATTTATTTTTTTGTTCTAATATTTGTTAAACGAGCTTAAATGTCTGCAATATGTATTCAAAACTATATAAAATATGCTATACTGTAAAATATGATAGAAAATAAAGCAATTATCATGCAAACCTATGGTTGTGAGGAGTATTAAAAAAAGTTTAGAGAATTTAAGTATATCCTTAAACATTAATTCATGTATGAATTAAAAGAAAAAACCCAATTGTTTTTTAGAGTCTATTGAGTAGGCCATAGGTTTGTTTTTATAGTCTAAATTCTATCTTATTTCTATTTCACATACAATGGGATGTTGACCATGACAACCGACATCATCCCAAAGGCCAGAGTCTGTGATAGCACCACAGTCTTGTACACCCTTATAGTCATCAGGCTGACCGGTACTCCAGTTTGTAAAAGTCAATTGCTTTCCCTCAGTGTCCACAAACTGTCCCTCGGTTTCTCTGTCTGTGACTCTAATATATGGCTTATTATTACTTAAACCACTGGATACTAATACTTTCAATAGTGCCTGGTTTTCTAAAGCAGTACTTGGCAAAACTATTACTCCACCAAGACCCTTGCAGTACTGCATTCCATTATTAAAAGTGGCCTCAATACCATCAGTGACGTAGTATTTCTGTCCAACTTTTCTGAATGTACTAAAACTCACAGCTTTCTCAATCATAGAAATCTTGGCATTAAGATGCTGGATCTCAGATTTCAGGGAGTCAGCCGTGTTTTCACGTCCAGGCAAGCCTGAAAACAGAATAATTACACTAGATATTAGGTACAGGGTTGAAATCTCCGACGGTGTTAAATATAAATATTTTACAGGACCAAAAAAAAAAAAAGAAGACTTTTCTGAGGTAGAAAAATGAACATTTCTACACTCGCTGAAGCTCTACAGTAATTTCAACATGAGGAATTTTGAAATATCTAAATTACTTATAAAAACGTTTAATGTTTCATACCTGGTTGACCTGGGGGTCCCCTTTCCCCCTTGGCTCCAGTCGGGCCAGACGGTCCTGCTTTACCTGGCGTTCCCTGCACATTCACTCCTGAGACAGTAAAGTAGGTGTGAAAAACATAACCGCATCTCTCTTCCTTACACAAGGAGGTGAACCACTGACTTACTCATTCATTCTCTCTCACAGACAAACACAAACCTGGCTCTCCTTTCTCTCCTTTGGGTCCAATTGCTCCATCTTTGCCATCTCTCCCATCTCTACCAGGCAGACCGTTGTGTCCAGGAGTGCCTGGAACGCCACCATAAGTAGGGCAGTTCAGGTTCTGAGGTTCAGCTCCATCCAAAAGCTGCATTGCAAACTGAAGTTGCAGAAACGCCCTGAGGAACATCTTTAACAGCATCTGTTGGAACACAATGGGAAAACTTCAGAGAAAACTGTGAATTACATTTGTTTAGTTCTGTCTGTAGTGTCTTGTCTTAAACCTACAGAAATAGAACAAAAACAAAACAAAAGCTCCAAGTATTTAGTAGTAAATAGCATTTTTCTTTACAATTTGTCTCGTAATAACTCATCAAATACTTTAGACAATGTATCACTTACAGGCGTATATTATTATATATCTTGTGATGTGTATTAGGATTGTATTTGGGTTATGGTATTGAATTCCATGTTTCTTTTTTTTAAAAGTCATTATTTGTGTTTCCATAAAGCCCTTCATTAGCAGAGCATTCTGAATTGCATCTTAATCTGGAGACTATTAACTTCTAGCTATAGTTTACAAATTTTTATGAGAGGAGGAAAATTAGTCTATTTAATTTACAGTCTATCAAAGTTACAAAATGTTGTGAATGAACCTCGATGAACCACAACATTCTCTATGCAGTTATGCTGAAAAGCTGTGTGTCGATGTGTGACTCGATCCCACAATTTCCCCCCTAAGTCAGCACAAAACACATCCTTTCGACCCATATTCATTAGTCTTGTGAGAATATAGAGGAAAGGATTTGTACGGAGTAAACAGGAAATATTTGCTTCAGGGGGACAGACACAAGTTTCTCATACAAATACTTTTCATTAGCAAAATTTTAAAGCTTGCCCAAATGAGATTTTGAGTCAAAATTGCCCTGATCAGTTTGTAAATCTTGATATAAATGAATTTAATTCACTTGTATAATTATACAACGCACAATAATCTGAAGCAAATAATTATTTATCACCATCTAATATCTAAAAGTTTATTCATCATGAGTCAGCTGGATAAATTGGAAGTTATTATTGCACTAACAAATAAAATAGCATAATGTGTTATCGCCATCCATTTAATGTCTCTTTATTAGATAAGTTCAAGCCACTTTTTTGGTTCACTGTTCCGGTGTTTTCTTTATTTTATTAACTTACTGCAAATGGTTCTCATATTAAAATAACATTCAGGTACCTACCATTTAAATGTAGGAGTCCAGGTGACAGCCAATGTCTGTTGTCCAACAAGTCCACAAGACTAAAATTGCACAAGTGACTGAAGAGAGGAAGGTCTTCTTGCTTTAAATCTCATATTCTGAAATACAGCTCTTCCTCTCTGGATATGCTGCGCTTGTGCAATGTGCTTTTAGGGAGATTAGGCCCTCCCAACCTCTCATATATTGACACCCTGCTTAACTGGTTGTGTTGTACTATTGCTTCAAAATCATATGCTAAATGACTGAATTCATTATGAATTCTATGCATTGTTGTTGGGATACAAATTTTAATGGATTTATTATTTGTTTGTGTAATATAATGTAAATAAAGTAAATATAAAGTAATATGTTATGGAAAAAAATGCTTCACAATCAAATTTAAACTGGATTTTATAAACATGATATCACATATTTTGTTAATGAGATGACTCAAACTCCTGTGAGGACTTCAGATGATGCAAACTCTGAATCAACATGCACCAATGCTAGATTTTCTAAAAAATGTATCATGTTCACAACTTGTATTAATGACCTCATTGTCATTAATAGTGATCTCATTGTTTCTGCCTAAAATTAGTACATTGTTAACGAACTCAACTGCGTAATTTGTATATGCACATTTCTGAAATACATTACTTGGACAATGTCACCTCTGATAACAGATCACTCTAAATTGTAATGACAAGCATTTTCTGTAAAGCTGCTTTTAAACGATATGTATTGTGAAAAGCGCTGTACAAATAAATGTGAATTGAAAACTGAATGAATAGAATACTGGATTGAATTAAATTATTTGTTATCTATTTCACATATAACAGGGTGTAGCCTACTTCATTACAACCGCCACCATCCCAAAGGCCAGAGTCCTCTATAAAACCACAGTCTTATAGGCTACTCTCCTATAGTCAGTTCAGTCTGACCAGGACCCCCATTTATTAAAAGTCAAATTCCCTTCCCTCAGTGTTCACAAACCGGCCCTCTGTTTCTCTGTCTGTGACGCCAATACCCCTAAACGTTTCTTACCCCTCGAACCACTGGATAATAGCTACTAATTTCAATAACGCTTGGTTTTCTGCAGCAGTTTTTGGCAAAACCATTGTTCTATACCAACATCCTTGCAGACTTTTATCGCTTCATCAAACGTTCCCTCAATGCCATCGGTAATGTAATATTTCTGTCCGACTTTTCACTGTGGATCAGTCACAATTTCGGCACAGGCTTTGCAAAACAGACTTTTACGATATGGACTTGTCACTCGACAGTGTTGCCACAACATGTAACGTTAGCCTGCCCTAATGTAAGTAAATTTCTAATGCCTTATCTGTGATGATATGATATCAGTGGCGGTTCTAGACCATTTCAACAGGGGGGCCAAGCTGGGGCCAGTTGTACTGTTAGAGGGGCTAGTTACATTTAGACCTTATTGTTGTCATATAATTTTCTGCACTGCAGGCATAAACAGGCAAAATACCATGTTTATAATCATCCAACAATGTATTTGCATTGCCATTACATTTTTACATTTGCATTACATATTCAGTATTAGTCACAGTAACTGTAATTGCATTTCCATTATTTTTTTACATTTGCATTACATATTCAGTATCAGTCACAGTAACTGTATTTGCATTTCCATGATATTTTTTACATTTGCATTACATATTCAGTATCAGTCACATTAACTGTATTCTACGATTTTTGTATTTTTTTGCAAAAAGATCAGCAAATTATCCTCTAACCTGGCCTTTTTAGGGGGCTTTTCTCTCAGGGCAAATGAGAGGATGCTTGATTGCTTTTTACCTGACATCTTTGAAAGACAGATGCGATGATTAATGTATCCATGGCCAGGATATGACATGATTTTAAAAGTGACCTATAACATCGACTATGCAATACTCTTTAATTTAGTGCTAATAAAATTAAGCCTATTTGGAGAGAGAGATGTTTATAATGTGACAATATGTCAGTCATCGTGTGATAACAAAAATATGACGGCCTAGAGACTACTTGTTCTGAGCAGGTGTTGTCAGTGAACAGGCTGTAATACTGTTGGCTATTACAGAAACTCGTGAAAAACTGATGCTAATTATCTGGGAAATATTCTCTAACAGCAGTCAAACTGTCATTGTTTGTGTCAAACAAGTTGTGAATTTGTTGTAACATTAAAACAGGAGATCATGATGACTTACTCTGTGCTTAAAGTGATGCTCGGAGCTCCAGTGAGTGGTTTCCTCTGTGGGTGAACGAAACTTTCAGAAGATGTTGTAACAGAATCACGTAAACAATTCCAGGATATGGTTTTTTTTTTTTAATTGGTTGTTGCGTTAAATCTTACCCAGATACAATAGTGCTATTTTCTGATTGGCTATTGTGTAGCACCTTTCTTTTTTTTGATTGGCTGATAAGTGGCAGGCTCGACTAAGAACTCCAGGGGAGACGCGCTTGATTCCTGCCGGTTCCATGAGAGCAGCGCGGCCAGAGAAATTGCGGCAAATATATTATAAATAGTTTTTCCGCGTGAGAAATACAATGGGTTGCGGGAGTGCGTGACAAAAGACCGAAATGAGTGACTGTCACGCTCAATGCGTGAAACTTGAGAGCCCTGCAGTTTTGTAAAAATTATTTCACACTCACGTCACATTTAGGGGGGCCACAAGGCAAGGGGGTCCAAGCTTGGGTCACAGGGGCACTCTCTATTTTTTTAGTTGGAAATTGGATGTGAAAAGAAGGAAATGGTTCTTCCATAACACTGCACTTTAGATGAGTGTGAATTTCCCACACCAGCAGTACTGTTCAAAAATGTTCTATGCAAAATGTAAAATGTTCTACTAAAGAAAAGAGAGAAAATAAATAAAGAAATAAAGTAAAGAAATGTGTGTGCTGTAAAGTGGTTAGAAAAAAATAAAATCGGAATCGGCTAAAATCGGTATCGGCAGGTCAAACTCTGAAAATTGGGAAATCGGAATCGGCCTAGAAAATTGTAATCGGTGCATCTCTACTTGGAATGCGTCCTCTGAAGGAAGCTTTTTTTTTCAGTTTTCAGATGCAGCCAGAGCGTTCAAATCTAAGGGCTAAAATGGGTAGGAAATACACCTTTTATTTCTTAATTATGACAATTTTTGATGTAAAAAATCATTAATAAGTTCACCCCAGGAAACATTATAAAACAATAAAACAATGCAGTTCAAGTCATGACCCCTTTAAAATGAAGCTATTAATAAAATGTAAAAATGTAAGCATCGCATTAAAGAATGCAAATATGTAATGTCTCTATGCACAAGTGGGTCACTGGATTTGAACATAGGATTTGAATAGCCTAAAGTGAATAGGCTAGGCTACTATAGTTCCTGTTTTCCTATTAAAATATTGCATCAACTGTTATTTTTTAACAACATTCAATATACCAGTTTAATGGAGGAGCCTTGTTGAAATTTCGACAGCCTTCAAAACTAAAAATCACTCATGATGTGATGGAGAAGAGTATGGAGAAACCCACGCTAGAGACGCCTCTACCCATCTTTAATGCATCTATTTGGTTCATTACGGTAGTGACATAGTCATGACATGACAGGTGAGGAAGTAACAAGTTTCTCTGGTTATATGATTCTGGAGCTCACCGGTTTACTTCATTTTACACCAACACTTGGTCACGTAGCATTAAAAGGTGAGTTTATGTCTTTATTTTTTAGTGACACAACTGAACAAACCGTGTCGCTCGTAATAATCCAAATAGTGCATGAGTTGTTTGTTTACAACAGGGTAGTGACGTTACTCGGCAACTTTCATGTAATTACTGCAGTCAGTGTCAGACATACTGCTTAAGCTTAACGTGTGTGTATGTCGTGTGTAAACATTTTACCACAACGGATTTAGAAGAAGGGTGTTTTTTTATTTTTATAATGCATCGTGAAATATGAAATGAGCTGGAGTACGGTTTGTCTTCTTTGGTGGTGGCATAAGGAATCGACATTG